TTTTTGATTTCATTCATTTAAAAATAAAAATTGTCAAAAAAAAAATTCAAATAAAAAAGGTTGAATGAACCCTCTTTCTCTCTCTCTCTCACACACACACACACACAAAACGACGGTGTAATAATCTTAAAGACCGCAAAAGAAGTGATCATCTTGAGATCCCACCATCATCTCAAAATAATCGTGTGTTGATTTGTGAATAGACCGGATGAATTTGTATGGACCGTAAAATGTCCCGTTTGGTTCCCAGCTTTTTCTAGATCTCGTTCTTTGATTTTTTTTCCAGGGAAGGGGAGATTTAAAAAAAAACATTCATTGCTTGATTCATTCTATTGATTGGTCCTCAAGACCACCACCACCACCAACCATACAGCCAATACACAAGATCACTTGGTTTGTTCATCTGTTCACATTTGGTGAAAAGTTCGTTGACTTTCGTTTCATTGAGATTTTTTTTTTCATTATGATTTTTTTTTGCCATGTGCGCTCGTGTATCCAACCAAACCATTGGGCCGTCTTGTCTTTTACGACTATGGATGTTTTGATCGTCGAGGCATACACACAAACACAAGTTCACTCACCTCACTCTCTTTCTCTCTTTCTGACAATTTTGCTACATTTAAATCCACCACAAATGATCATAGTAGTATAGTATATGATATATAATACAAATAATGTATTCGATTGGTAGTGGAATGAATAGATACAATTGACGCCACGCGTGCATGTGTGTGTGTTATTGTTGTTATATAATTCGAATCGCATTTAATTTGTTTGTTTGTTTGGTTGGATTGGTTGGTTGGTTGGTTGGTCATTGCATAATATGCTGGTGTCCACTCAAAGTTCATCGACTGCATCATTCTTATAATCTATCTCTCTCTCTCTCTCTCTCTCTCGAACACACACATACACGAGAAACAACCATGATGTTTTAGAGAAAGAGGTGGTTATGATGATGATGATGATGATTATAGTAAAGAAAAAAAACCACCCATTTGTTTTTAAAGAAAAAAAAAGTTTCTTCACCATCATCCTATGAACATTCTGATTTTATTCACATAACTAACCTATAGGTATATTCAAGTAAATATAATATATATATTAACATACGAACCTTTTTCAAATGATGCTATTTTGATGTTGGATTAAAATTTTTTCTTTCTTTTTTTTTAAAAAAAACACTAAGTTTTTAAATCTATAGAATAGAATAACAAAAATATCAAAAACAGCTGAAAATTATTCATTCATTCATTAAAATGACATCACATCACATCACATCACATACACACACATATGTCTTGATGATTGACAGTTTTTTTCTCCTCATTAATTAGATAAGTTGAATTTTTTTTTTTGAAATTGAATAAAATTCACAATAAAATCACAATCAGAACATATCACTGATGTTTTTGTCGTTGTAGTTTATTCGATATTTTTTAATAATAAAATTTAAATAAAAATCGAAATATTCGATTGATCGAATGTAAACAACAAATTTAAGGCACACAGGCTACACATCTAGAATTCATAATCTCAGAATTTTAAAGGATTTTTTTTTTGAATAAAATCACATATAGAATTCGAATGAAAAACAAAATCAAGACACAAACACAAAGAGGACACTTTGAATCTACAGGTGTTGTATTAATTAATTACATATGGAATAGGAATTTTTTAAATTCATTTAAATGAATAATAAGCACGCGGTAATTCTTTTTCTTATTACATTCACACACACACACCTGTGTAATTACACATCAAGAGACACATAAACACGGGAAATAAAATATAAAAATGACGAAAAATTTAAAATTCAAAAATGGTGACAAATAATTAAGGAGAAGAAAACATTTTTCTAATATTTTAATAAAATAAATTCTTGAATAATAATCATGTTGTTGTTGTTGTTGTTGTTGTTGTTGTGGTTGTTGTTGTTGTTGTTGGTGATCATCAACAAAATAAAGAAACAAACAAAACGAATAATTTTCAAAAATGTAACATGGATGTATGCAACTTACGAATGCTCCAAACGAAATGAAGTGTTGTTGTTATTTTTCGTATATGATAGATCACAATCCATTGGAGAAAAAGAGGATCTGCGATTTTTTTTTGTATGGAAAAAAAGAGATGTGAATGGAGTTTGCGCATAACGGTTTTTTCTTCGTAATACACACACACACTTGTATGTATGTAACCAAAAGAACAACGACTTTTCAATCATATATAATAGTGATGATGACGGTGCAAACATCTTGGCCGATCAACCAGCCACTGCTTTTTTTGGCATAATATCAATGTGTTGAATGTCTATGATGTTTGATGTTTGGTTATTCCATCATCATCATCAATGATGATAATAATTATTGATATTACAGCATTTGGATAGAAATAGGATTTCATTTTCGATAAAATTGGATAGAATTGGTATGGTATTGATCTAAGAATCCATATTCAATGTTTAAATATATTGATTTGAACGATATTAAATTATAGAATTTGATTTGAAAATTGAAATGGAATCTTATGTATTTGGAATAATTATAACCTCTCTCTCTCTCTCACTCTTGTATCAACGACGATCATTTCATTATTCGTTCAACTTTCTTTCTTTAAAATTCATTTATTCGATATAAAAACAAGACAAAAAAGAAAAATCAAGAACAAGATCGACCACAATTGGTTGGTTGGTTGGTGGGCTGGTTAGTTGGTGGTACCAATCAAACAACTACATACATGCTACATCGACCTTTCAGTGGTCGGTCAATATCACCATTTTTTTTTTTTTTTTTATGCTTTTTTGGTGAAACAAACTTAGGGCGCCATTTCCTGTTTTTTACATATTACAGTGAGAGGAGGAAAGCGAGAGAGAGAGAGAGAGAGAGGAGAGAGAGAGAGGGTACATGAACTTTGAGTGAAAACATTTGACGAATGGATTGAACGACAAAGCGTCATTTCTATCATACAATCAACGATATATATCATCATGTATCCATATATCCAAAGAAGAAGAGTTGAAGCAATTTCCATTTAGTTTTTTCTTTCATTTGTTCAAGTGCATTCAACTCGATTCATATTTTAACAGTTCCATCTCTATTATTTTTTGAACATGCGTTATATATTATTGATTAATCATACAATGAAATCAATAATCATTGATTGAGGGATTTTTTTTTGTTCTTCTTTTACTTCATTAGATCGAAATGGAATCGAATCATTAAATATTGAATTGGTGGCGAATATATCGTTGGCAACACAATAATAATCATATTATTGCAAAAAAAAAACATTGATAGAATGTTATTGCTCATTACAAGGTTATTGGACTTATATGATTCATTTATTTCATTGACAAGATAGTGAAATTTTTTTCAATAAAAAAAAAAAAAATTTGGTCCTAATATTTCACACATGGATCGTCCAATCAAATATTGAATAAATAAAGTGAAGAGAAAATTTCTGAAAAAAAAGTTCATTGATTCTTACTAATAACACATTGTGTCATTGAACATTGAGTGAAATTACATTCTGTTATGTGATTGACATTTTACATATATGCAAATGTGTGTTTGGGTATAGGTGGTATAATCGGGTTTGATGGCGCCCAACTTTTATACAAACACACACGCACACACAAAAAAAACTATCAACATCAACCGATCCAGATGATAGATACATATGCATGAATGAATGACACATGTTTTACCAGCAACAACATTAACATTTTTTATCACACACATTCTCTCTCTTTTTTTTTTTTTTTTTGGTTGTCACATTGCTGCTGCAGTGTTTTTTTTTGTGGATGGGTTAGGTCGAAGGTGGGCTGATGATGTTATCCATTTTTTTTCTGTTGATGTCATTGTCTTCAGAATAAAGTTGGTCGATCAGTTGGGTTGTTTTTTTTTGTCTCTCATTCGCTTTGCTTTCGGTCAGTGTACGGTACATTAACACAGCTTGTCATATACATGATCATCATCATCATCATCAAACACACCAACCCTTTTGATAAAGAAAAAAAGAACCATTGCTTAGATTCTTGAATCGCATATACAAAATGGGCTATTTCGTTGTGGTATACAACCTGGTTGGGAAAAGGTCCACAACATCAATACACCATCATCGTTTGTTCATGACGCCGACGCCAAAATATTCTTTGTTCGAAAAAATAAAGAAAAGAATTATATACAATGAATCAAAAATAGATACCTTTAAATACACGCATGACATTTACAACAATTGTATATCGATTGTAATGGATGAAGATGTGTGTGTGTGTGTGGGAGTGATGAAAGAATCCCAGCACTAGGCCTCCCCCCATCATTATATGAATCAATGATTCTGAATGTTAGCAGAGACTTTCTGTGATAATGATGATGATTTCTTTTTACTTTCATCAGTTCAATCCAATCCAAACTAAACAAAAGACAAGCCAACCTAATAAACAAGATAATATGAAGGGTATTTATTTATCGGATTAAACCGATAAAAGATAAATCATCGAAATCTATTGAAAACAAAACAAAAGGTTATCTCACGTTGTTTTTCCACTTTTCATTATGAAAGAATTTTCTATGTTTAGTTTTTTCTTGTAATTTAATAAAGAAAATTATTGTTAGAATGAAAACTGTTGAGAATATAGGGAAAATGGAATTTAGACACCCCAATATGTTGCATAGATAGTGATGTACTTAAAGTTATCTGCAATAATCATATCTTTAATAAATGGAAATTAAATGAATATATATAATAACCAGCCACCAACCATCATCATCATCATCCATCGGACGATAACCTTGATTTTTGTCTCGTTCGTTTGCTTCATGTCTTAATACATACTCTCCTCTCATACATCGTTCTTTGCTTTGGCCACTCTTGCCATTCAAGATTCATTGACATTATCATCCATTCGGTGCAATAAACCAATGGAAAAAAGCCAATGAACCTGCTGCTGGCTGCTGCTGCTGCTGCTGCTATTATATTATATATTGATATATTGCGGTTCTCAAATATATTTATTGTAACTATTTCGCATCGATTTTCAGTGATGGTATTTTCATTTTCTTTCTGACAAATGAAATTATAATAAAAGGTAAAGTGTGAATAATGATAATGTTGTACTGAATGACGAACTTAATGGTAATCATCATAAATCATAATCACCCATTATGCCCAAAATGGTTGATAAAGTGTTCGTGATTCAGCACATAATCGACTGCCTATATCTTCTTGCCAGATTAGATTCAAATATCGTCCACGTACATTATCAGGCAGATTACGTAACAATTGTTTACGACGTTGACATGACCAACGATTAAAATCTTTTACCAATGGTAAATGATGACCATTTATATTGATCTCTATCTTTATGTTTGAATCAGTTTCAGATTTCGATTGTCGAAAATCTTTTTCCGCGTGTAATTCATCTATAATCAAATTAATGGCCGATTGAAGTTTTGCATCGTTTTGACAAATTTTCATATAATTTTCGTGTATTGATTCAGGTAGATTTTTCAACGATTCAAGCTGTTGATCGAAAGTCATCTCATTAAATTGACGTGGCAATGGTAAACTATAGCCATCGATTTCGATCGATGGACCTTCAATGATGCATGAACAATTTGTATTTGACATTTTGAAAAAATAAATCAAGAATTATTAGCCATTTCTTAATTTGCAGCATGTATTTATTCAATTTTTTTTATAAATTCAATTAGAAAAAAAATTTAACAGAATGGTTTGCACCATAAATCACAAAGTTCGGAATTTTTCAGACACATAATGGAAATTAATTCTTGTTGATGGCCATATTGCCAAAGCATATTCAAATAAATTGATCGAATTGTTTCTGGTAATTCGGCAATTATACGATTCTGTATATCGGAATAGAAATAAACGATAAAATCTTCCGGTATCGGTATATAATATTCATTCAATTCAAGCATGAATGATGGTCGATTTGTAGTCAGTAATTGTGACATGACTTGTGATGGTAAACGAATCGCCGACCGTGGTAACATCGATTGTTGCTTTTGTCGATAATCAACGTAATCTGACCAACATTCAAAATCATCAGATAAGCATGGTAGTTGTCGTTCATGACGTCGAATTTCGATGACAAATTTTTTCATTTCTTCCAATACTTCGGATGGTAGTTCTTCTTTTCTATCGGTATTTGGATTTTCATCAATATTTTTATAATTTGCCTGCAACAATCGAATCAATGTTGATTTTCGAGATTCACGTTCACAAAAATCTAGATATTTTTTCGTATAGTTGAAGGCACCTCACAAACACATAAATTCTGCTTGATTGCTTCCATTTGGCTAAATTCAATAGGCATCGGTAAACGATATCCTTCAATCAAAATTCGGGCGTTGGTGCATTGGCAATTCGAGTTGGTCATCATTGTTGTTGTGTTGACCTCGAACAAAACAATATAAAATTAACAAGAGACAAACACACAAACGATCAAATAGAATTACCCTAAAAATTTCGTCAACCATAGCCAGTTTTATACATGTAATTTCAAAAGAAAAATCGAGAAAAAAATATTTCGATTATTAACAAAAAAAAATTCGAATAATTCGATAAAGATCAGTTTATAAATGGCCAAAAAAAATGTCACAATGTAACCAAAGAGATGAATCGACAACGGATCCAAAAATATATCCTGTTGATGAGTTTGTTTTTTTTTTGACACCATGAATTTATTTAGTCTAGTTATAATAAAAATAGACAAAAGTTTTAAACGTGAATTGAATTCAGGATTTTGAACCTTTTATATATAATTAACGTGTACAATGTTCTCTTGATTACCATATTGTTGTTCCAATTATGATGTTGACAATTAAGTCATATGAATTACAACAACAAAACAAAAAACATGATTGATTCATACCTGTTTTTGGTGACATTTTTGTAAATTAATCGTGAATAAACAAGCAAAAAAATAAAATAAACAAATCCGGGCAGCAAATGAAAAATTTAAAAAAAACATCATCATTCAGTTTATACATGAATGGTACGTCGAACAATGTACAAATCTGGTCAACTAAATTCTATTCGAATACAATTCGTCTGATATCGATTTCGATTGAGTCACACACACACACAAAAACTCCGGTTTTTCAATAAGTAGCGGCACAGTTCAAAGTTGGATAATTGTAATACCTATTATTTATTCTCTATGGTTCCCAAACCGAAGGGTTTTTCTGACTGAGCTATGACGCAAGACAGCGCTCACACACACACACACATTGATAAATATAACCAGATTACGATTGTAAATTGGCGCTATTCATTTTTGTTTTTGTGATGCTAATTATCATCAATCATATAAGCTTCATAATTATTTGAATTCAAACAAGTAATTTTCCAATGAATTTGGGTTATTTTCATTGTTTTTCTGATTTTTAATTTGAATTTTTAATTTCCACTTATTAGATTCTACTTATTGTTTTGATTTTGTGGACCGAAAACCGTGAACATAATCAACACTAAATGGCTGTCAAAGTTCTCAACAATCTCCAAGAATGTTGTGATAATTTAAGGAAAAATTTAATCGATTCTAATTATAAATTCGATGCTGTATTTCGTGCAATATATGATCCTAATGATAACAACAATGGACAAGATGAAACACTACAAAAGGATAAAACCTCCAAATTCGATCAACCGAATGAGCCGATAAAAAATCAAAAACAGAAACAGAAATAGTTATTTCGTCAAACATGAAAGAACCATCCAAAACATATCAACATGGTCCAAAGTTACCGATTCAACATTTTGATGATGATTATAACATGGAACATTTCCATCGAGTAACATTTGAACCAAAACAAAAACCCTCAACTAACATCAATGATGATTCATTTGTGATTAATAAAACTTTGAATGATAATTCATCAGCCTTTCGTGATAGTGACTTAGCTGATGATTTTATGGCCATAATTGAAACTCCTTTAACATCTACAGTCATGACCAACAAAAAGCGATCAGGATTTGTAATCAATATCAGTGATGATGAGGAAAGTCAACTAGTTGAATATAAACAGAACAAAGAAAATATCCAAAATCGATTATCTCCTATCAAATCAAATTATCATGAAACGATAACTGATCAAAAGATTCTTTGTTCCAATCCGGAATTCGTAACGAATATGTTTGGAATTTGTCAGAAATTGATGGAATATGAAAGTTCAGTTCAAAATATTCCTACAGAGTTGAAATTATCATTGCGTAAGCATCGAGATTTCTTAAACAATCATACAAAAAGATTAAAAACAGAACAAAAATCGGTAAACAAACTTCAAGACTGTGAAATTTTAAATGTTGATCCTGTTTTTAAAGAGAATTTTAATAATTATTCAAAAGTCACGCCGATAATCAATGACATCAATAATGATGATGATGATTGTTGGCCTCGGACATCCAAACGATTGGACACTAAATGTACTCCTGTTAAATTTTGTTCCAATATAGCATCTTCATTGCTAACAGTTCAATCAATACAAGTGGATGAATCTAACTTTCGAAATGATCAAATACATTCAGTTAATTCTCAAGATTCATGTGAAATTATCCCAATACCAGAGCCATTACCAGTTAGAAGAACAGCTCAGATTACAAAATCTGATTTTGGTCAAACAACAACAACACAAAATAGCGATAATGAAATTGGTGTGAGCGATTTGAGTGATTGGGAAGATTGTTATGAAGGCTTACCGGATTCGAATGGACAATGTGAATCAATAATCGCGATGACGCCATCACTGCCAAATACTCAAAATATTTCAGGATCATGTGGAACTGTTCTGAATGCAGCACTACGTGCTGAAACAAGTTTTGTTCAAATTGATTTAAATCGCTCTATAGGTCATTGTGGAGAAAACGAAATCGGCGAAGAACTTTCTATGAAATCGAAAAATGATCGATTTTTTGGACTCTATCAAAATGATGGAAATGAACAGTTGTTAAAATCCAAGAATTTGCCACATTCAGAACAAATGTTGAAAATTTTTCATCAAGTTTTTGGTCTTTATGAATTCCGAACAAATCAGTTAGAAGCTATCAACGCTGCTTTGTTAAAATTTGATGTTTTCATATTGATGCCAACCGGTGGTGGTAAATCTCTCTGCTATCAGCTGCCGGCTTTGGTTTCCGATGGAATTACTATTGTCGTATCACCATTGAAAAGTTTGATCCTGGATCAAACATCAAAAATGAACGAACGATTTCCTGGATCGGCTGCTTCTCTAACTGGTGATGTCGATACCGGAACTGTATCAGAAATATATGCTGATCTTAAATCGAAAGAAGGACGAACCAAGTTATTGTATGTAACACCGGAAAAATTATCCGCATCAGATCGTTTAATGTCTATGCTAAAAAATCTTTATCAACAAAAAAAATTATCACGGTTTGTTATCGACGAAGCCCATTGTGTTTCACAATGGGGTCACGATTTTCGTCCTGATTATAAACGCCTTTCGGAACTTCGACGCCCCTTTCCGAATGTACCATTCATGGCATTAACTGCGACTGCAACCCAAAAGGTACGACTTGATATAGCACAACAACTTCATTTACGAGAAGCCAAATGGTTCATGCAATCATTTAATCGTGCTAATCTCAAATTCGAAGTACGAGCAAAAACTAATAAATGTATTGAAGAAATAACTCAACTATTGAACTCAGATTTTCGTAATCAAACTGGAATCATTTATTGCTTATCACGTAATGATTGTGATACTTTAGCAGAAAAACTTAAACAATTTAAATGTGTTTCCTATCATGCTGGTCTTTCCGATGTTTCTCGTAAACAGGTTCAAAATGATTGGATTACAGGAAAATTCAATGTCGTCGTCGCCACTATTGCTTTCGGGATGGGGATCGATAAAGCTGATTGTCGTTTTGTTATACATTATTCATTGCCCAAATCAATCGAAGGTTACTATCAAGAAGTTGGTCGTGCTGGACGCGATGGCCAACTAGCTCTTTGTATTCTCTATTATACACCATTAGATTTTAATCGATGGAAAAAATTACTTACGAAAACGACAAAGCAAAAACCCATGCTAAAAATGGCAATGTCTTATTTATATGATGTGCAAATGTTTTGTCTGAATAAAGCCGAATGCCGTCGTAAACAATTGCTCAAATATTTTGGCCAACAATATGATGATCGTTACTGTGTAGCGAATATTGAATCTGTATGTGATAATTGTTTGGTAAAAGATAATTTTCAATCCGAAGATTTTACACAAAACGTTCGGACCATACTTGAATCTATCCGATTATTAGTAGGGTCATATAATCAAGAACGAAATGACAATATTTCACCCACGCAATTGACCAATATTTTATGCGGTAAGTGTTTTGTTTCCATCTTCGTTTGTTTATTTTAATATGATTTTCCTATGCAAAAAAAAATAATTCAAATTTTTCTTTCCGACACATTTTTAGGAAGTTCAGCCAGTGATAAATTCGCACCAGATAAACATCGACGTTCTGCCATGTATGCATTGCTCAAAGATCTCACTCGAACCGATGTACAACGATTGGTACAAAATTTGATTGCAAAAAAATTTCTTGCCGAAGATACTTTTGTCAACCGAAAGTGTTTTTTCGCCAGCTCTAGCTACGTTCGACTTGGTGAACGCTCTTCCGATATATTAGAACGTAATCATCAATATATATTCAATGTAACAAAACGTCGTACACAGAAAAAAAAGTAATATTAATGATTGATTGACTTGATTATTAGTACTAATAGATTTTTATGCTTGCTAACCTTTTTTTGCTTTCTTTTTATGAATAGTAGTGCCAAAACCCCAACAATGAAAAAATCCACAACGGCTCGTAAACGTAGTATCTTCGATGAAAATGATCTCGATTCTCGCCGTCAGGAAGGAAATGATTATGGCGACCTGGACTTTATCGATACTAACCCTTCTTCTTGTTTAGATGCAAATGATTCCATAAATAATTTTATCGTTCCAGATGATTATCCTATTGATGATGATAATCACATACAATCAACCACCACTTCAAGTCGTGGTGGTAGTACCGCAGCCAAAAGAAAACGTAATACAGCTGGAACATCGAAAACAACTAGAAAACCAAATAGTAACAAACAACAGAAAAAAATGTCAAAATATTTTAACAAAGCATCAAGAATAAAAAGTACAAATAATTCCACACGAAATTATTCAACGCCAACGGATGTAGATGGATATTTTACAATTCCAGGTTAATATTTTTTATTACTTTAGCCGTTGATACCATCATCATACACATTTATTTTCTTTGAATTTATTTTCATAAAAATAAAAAATTTTCATTATTTTTTTACACCACATGCATTTTTTTATTATTAACAAATCGATTAAGGTCAATGTCAATTCGAGTAGTGATTTTTGAAGCGATAATTTTAATTTGATTTCGGTTCGTTTCATATAATAGCCAAATTGCCTACTACATTTAGGTCCGGGTTTCCACCAACGTAGGCATTTTTTGCACATTGTAATAAATACAGAGCAAACATTTGAAACCACGGATTTCCCTATTCCTTTTTAAAATTCATTGATTTTGGATCCATGTTTGGAAAATAGTTTGTTTAATAAATTGATAAAAATTATTGACAATTTAACACCTTTAAAAATCCAAAACTAAAGCTTGATGTTGATTGAGGTCAGGGCATCCATTTAGTTAGTTTTGTTAGTTCCAAAAAAGAATCATTTGAAACATCTATTCGTGTGTTTGGTTTTTTCTCTACAACATTTTTTTTCTGCATTCAATTGATTGAATATATGTGCTTTTCCATAATTTACCATTCTTTTTTCTTTCGTTTTTTTTTCAATTTGTTTGTTCAGGCGCGACCAAATTGTAATGAAATTGATGAAAAAAAGCTGGACAAAAATCAATTTTCTGTACTTCATTCTTTTCATTGTAATACAATTGTATGTTCAAATGAATAGAGTTGACAACTTTCTCTTTCAATCATTTTGATTCATTATTCGGTTCCGTTTTGTAAAGATTTTATGGAATTCCAAATATATTTCAAACATTCGACATTCGAAAATTGATGCATACGTACTACCTAGATTTTTTTTTGTTTGCCTAAATTGTTGTTTTGATGTTTTTTCATTGTAATCACAGTGTTCCTCAAAATCACAATGTCATCCTCGCCATCATCTTTAACTAAACAACCGAAAATCGCATCCATTTCCAATGTTATCATAATATTCTTTGCAATAATCGTCGTTCTTTCCTCACAGAATTTGGCTCAATGTTGGCTTTTTTCGCCAAGAATACAACCATATTATTATCCATTTCCATATCCAGTTCCAGCATCTATTTTAAGTGGTTCTGGCTCTGGTGTTGGTTCGGCTGGCTTGGTTAGTGGATCCCCATCATTATCTGGAAGCTACATCGGACAATCACCTATTGGATCTAATCCATCTGGTTATAATTATAATTGGTACAACTATCAAAACTATCCAAGTTCTGGCGTTCTTTATCCATCGGGTAGTGGTAGTGGCGGAAATACTGGCACTAGTGGTTATGTTCCAGCTGGACCTTTCAGCAACTCATTATTTCCCACTAATTCAGGATTGACTGGTTTGCCTACAACGTCATCATTATTTCCTAATACTGGATCTCTACTTCGTTCCTGGTGGACACGAAAATTTACGAAATTTGGTATGAAACTTTCAAACAAGAGTGTTATCTTAAAACTTGAACAAGATCTGATTACATAAGGTTTGTTACGTTTTTCAGGATCATTAGGTAGCAGTTTGTCAGGGAATCAATACAGCGGATATGGAATAACAAGCAACAGTCCTTGTACCGGATATTGGGCAAGCGGTAGTAATGGATCACCTTGTCCATCGTCCAGTTTGTGCTGTTATCCATTAGTAATACAGACCAATGTTGAATCTACATCTCGGCCATCTTATTCGGATTCATCACCATCCACTGCTGTCACGTATCCATCAAGTGGTTATGTTTATCAGCCATCACATCATGGATACAAATCATCATCACATTTATCATCACAAGCATCCGAAAATGTTGATGATGTGGTCGATTCAAATCAAAGTTCTTAATAGTTTTATTCAAACTAAATTAAAAATCTTTATATGATGCGATGTATTACCTCGATGTATACGTAATTCAGAATAAAAATCTATCAACTTTTTGTTTAGATTAATTTCGGAATTCACCTTGTTAATTGGTACACGATTTCTAGGTCATTTGAACAGCATTGTTTTTTTTCGAATGGTCATGGTATGCGCACACTTGAATGAATAGAATACATTGAATGCATTGAAATGTGTGTCGTCTGGCCGCCGTCCATTTCGATTGGTGTCTACTTGCTAGCTGCAATTCATTCATTCATTCATTCACTTATTCATATTTCCTCCCGTTTTTTTCATTCTTTTTTCTTCGGTCTTTTTCTCGATTCTCCATTATGGTTGTTTCGAATCATCAATATAAATTTATGATGGGGATGGGGATGACAAATTTTTGTTTCTATTTCAATTTTTTGTCACTCACTGATCATTATCATAGTTTGAATGTTTGATTGACCGTAAAAATTCAGTCAAGATCATCATCATCATTATCTTTTTGTTTAACCAGACAAAAGCCATTACATTCACATACGAATCATAATTCACCTGATTATATATGATTGGGTTATATAGATAGATGACATGGATGTTCCAGTGTGTATCCGGTTCGATGACCTAGTCATCGATAATCGATGCAATTTTATGAAAATCTTTTCTATCATTCGATCATATGAAATGCGTAATTCATATCGTATTTAAACTTTATGCAACAAACGAATAAAATGATTAGGAAAAGACTTTGTCAAGTAATCGAAACTAATGAGCAAAATCTAGCCCTATAGATTCCAATTTGAATTTAATAATATGCATCTGGTTTAATGTTTGTCGTTGGCATCGTCACCAAAAAGCGATGATTCGACAAGATTCTCTTTCATCGAGTTGAATGATGGAATGATTGTGTATAAAAAATGCGACAAACAGCTTCAAATTCAATGTGATTGCGACGTGAACCAAGTTGTGATGTTTGTTTTGTTTATTTTTTTCAAACTATTGAAGATAATTTGAACATTGGATTTCATCTTTGGCTTGAAGCGATTTCGTATTTTCTTAAGAGAGTTTCTTCAACTGAACAATTGCTCGTTTCCAAACCAAAGACGTTATTGTATTCAATACCATCAAGTACAATGATGGCATCGTTTAGTAATTTGAAATCAGTGAGAATAATCGCAAAATTTCACCTAAAAATCAATAACACAAATTACTATTTTATCATTTAGATTTTGTTTGTCGTCATAATATTGATGATTGTTACTACAAAAACGATATCGGCTCATGGCTCATCAATAAGTCCATATGTTGGTTTTGGTTACAATCCAATAGTCAGGTAGATGATGTTTGTTTTGCTTTTTGAAATTGGTTTTTATTCGTTATTACGTTGATTGCAGCCCTTTTTATGGCTATGGATTGGCCAATGCTCTCGGCTTTGGCTTCGGTATGCTTATTGTATTTATTTCATGTTTTTTTTTGTTCGTTTAATGCGGGTTAAATTCGAATAGATCATTTAAGCTATTATGGAAAGCCATGGTATGGTGGCTATGGAATCGGTTATCCATTTGGAAATGGTTACGGTCTTGGATATGGAATGGGCATGGGTTACGGGATGGGATTTCCAGCAATGAATCTTGGAATGGGTCATGGTGGAATAGGATATGGCGTTGGTCTAGGAGTTGGTTACGGTGCTGGATATGGAGCAGGCATTGGCCCAGGTGTCGGGGGCTATGGATGGATCAACAAAAAAGAAGGATTCGATAGTGCATTCGATCCTATGATGGGTGGTGGTGGTGGGGTTAGTGGTGATTTTCACAAAACTGCTCGTAATGGTCGAGAATTGAATCTTTCATCTTCAACCGATTTGAGTACAACACCATCATCATCATTGGCATCGTTAATTATGAACAGGAGTTTAAAAACAATTTCTTCATCTGCAAATAAACAATCGTCATCGCCATCATCTCAATCACAGCACTATTCGACCAATATTGTCGATCATTCATTATAATAATTATTTTATTTTATATAAACTTTTATGAATCGCATCTATCATCATATATTTCATGATATCAATTCATAATAAAAATTTCTTGTAAAAAAAATCTCAATCGTAATAATCACCGTAATCATGACCGGCCATTGTTTCAACGTCATATCCACCAAGAACACCTCCTACACTTCCGGCACCAACTCCCCCGAATCCGCCAGCACCAAACTTATTCATGGCTACTCCATTTTGTTTATCCATATCAATTTCATGATGAAATAATTTCCGCCGTCTGAAATTGTTCATGTTAAATTGATTTTGTCGATATCCACCTGCCAGACCACCAGTTAAACCACCAGCAAATCCACCACCACCGTTTCCAATGTAGCCTCTATAGGGATAACCACACGGCCTACTCCCACTATGAAGCAACGGTTTCTAAAAAAAGAAAAAGTTCAGATTAGATAGTGTGAAAATTTCTAACTTGAAAAAAAATCACCAGCAACGGAAGCAATATAGACGAATGAATTGAATCAAAGTTTTCATCGAGTAGAAAAACGGTTAAAAACAATGTCACGATTGAGATTCGCATTTTGTTCGTATGTGTTGAGGTGGTTTTGGTCATTTGAATCGAATATTAATTGACCGTATATATTTATATATTAAAGCTTGTCACATTTCTGGCACAAATTCCAATCACCTTGTAACACTATTTCAGGTCAGCAAACCAATGGATGCAATTTTTAAATTACCATAATTTAATTGTTGAAATGAATTAAAATGACCAGCATCAAAGTAAACTTGAAAATTAACGAAATCTTTTCTTCATTTATTTTTTGGTTGATAAATTATTTTGTCATTTTTTACAATTTCTTCAATTTTAAATTCCAACAATGATGCACAAAACAATTTTGATTTTTATTTAAAAAAAATTCTCTAGCCAATAGATGGCAGGATTTATATTCAATGCGATTGCGAACATCAAGATTTTAGGTCACAATAAAACGCAACAAATAAAAAGTCCCATTGCTCACTCTTCTAGGTACGGTCCGAATGTTGTTTGTGACCGATACTGACGAATGTGGTTTTTTTTTGTTGCTAAAGCAGACCGACTCGATTGTATTGATCCTTTTCAAGAATTTGATTGAAAGCTAATAAGGTGATTGTTTTTGTATCATTTAGAATCATCAAATGTGATTATTTTTTTATAACAATCTACGAATTCAATAAACCATAAAATTCTGGTGAAGTAAATTTGAAAATAAATTTCAAAGTTGACTAATTTTCTTATTTTCATGAAATCCAAACTTATAAACCGGACTATATTATTTAATATATATGATGGACAAAACGACCGACATCATTATCGCTTCCAATGATGAATCAACATCCCAAATAAAACGAAAGCCGATTAAATTGGCTAGTCAGGTTGTTGTCAGCAAAACTGCTTCTTCATCAAATCGAAATTCATTCTCTCGACACAACTATGATGGACACAGTCGATATTCGGAACCCGATGATGATGATGATGATGATGTTGATTCCGATGATCGTGAATTAGATGCAATTCTCAATGATCACGATGACGGTGATTCTCTTGATGATGAAATCGATATCAGACGCCAACAACGACGCCGGCGTCCATCGATTGATAAAGACCATTATCGAACTGATGATGAAGATTTAGAACCAAAACGTAGACGGACAAGTAGCTTATCGAACAATAGTGATATCTATCATAATCATCATGGAATATCTAGCAAGTATCATAATTATCCTCATCATGATCGCACTAATCGATCACAATTAATTGATCGTGACTATAGACATCGCTCAGCTTCGGTAGATAAACATGATAGTTATGAAGTTGATCATGATTCGAATCATTCTTATCATCGTAGAAAAAAAGATCGAAGCAGATCAAGATCAAATGATCGAAATTATCGTTCGAAAAGTATGGATCAAAATGATCGATATGAAGACATTAATTCCGGAACCAAACTGTCGACAGATTTGAAGAAAAAATCGTCATCAGAATTACAACCCATAATCGGTTTAAAAAAAGAATATGAAACAAAGTTATTAAATAGCGATAAAGAATATCCCAATAAAATCGCTGATCTCCGTAACGCTTTGAAAGAGATGAGCCGGCCGGATCAACGAAAATGGGTGTATGCCATCGATGATGCAAATCCTGTACCATTGAAAATCGAAAACGATCCTAAATGGATCTATTCGGAAAAAATTTCTGAAGATGATGTGAAAAAATTAATCAGTCAGCGTTCACTTGAATTAACCGAAGAAAACAAAGTGATTGCGAAAAAATTTTCAGCTTACAAAATAATTGATGCCGATGTGGATAAAGTTGACATCAATGAGACTGATGTGGAAAAGCCTATCGCAACAATTAAATCAAAATGTGAACCTAAATTGAAGCTATCGAAATCAATGAACGGAAAAAATCAAAAATCAAAAGCAAAAAACGCGGCTGGAGCTAAAAAATCCAATCCAAACAAAGATCCTGAAGCTCAATTCTTTACATTGAATTTGAGGGACGACAAAGATGAAGAAGAAGAATTTGATGGTATCGATTATGAATCATTGTCAAAAAAATTGGCTCAAAAAGATGCTGCAGCTCTTCGTCGAGCGATGGCTGAAAAATGGAGAAAGATTGTAGACGATGAAGAACGAGCTGTAGCTTTGGCTGCTCAAAAAGAACGTGAAAAATTGAATCAAAAAACTGCGGCAATATTAAAATCAAAGGATGTTAAACCCGCAAACAATACTAAAGACAAAGAAAAAGAAGTTAAACAAGAGAAAGTAGAAAAAGAGAAGTCTACTGAATTAGAAGTGAAAACTTTTGCCGGCGAAAGCCTTGTTGATAAAGTGACATCTATACGAGAACAGGCAAAACGTGAATTGGAAGAACTTGAGCAACTAATGCGTCAAAGAGCAATTTTGATGGCTAAATTAAAATCAGAAAAATTCGAGGAAGGTGACGATGCCGAAATAATCAATATTGATCTCAAGATAAAATGTCATTCTAAGGATAAAGGTGAAGATTCATTACTTGATGAACGTTCAAAGCCTGCGTCTAATCCTAGTAATAACAAAGATATCCAAATTGATAAAAATGATGAAAAATTCACTAATAACGATTCTAAGAAGGAATCGAAATCTAAATCAGATTGTCGGAAATCCGATGATGACAGTGATGAAAATGTTAAACATAGAAGATCAAAGCATAAAAAACATAAGAAACACAAGAAAAAATCCTCTTCGCATTCACGTCGCAAACATCATCATCGTAGTCGTTCGAAAGAAATGTATGATGAAAAAGGTGGCCAGAAAAATTTCCATGATGATTATGAGCGCGACTATCGACGGCGTGATACTGATTATCGATATAATTATGATAATAAAAATGACGATGGATATCGTTATGAGGATTCCCGTTATGCTCGTACAGAATATCAACATCATCGTAATAGACGAGATTATTATGATGACCGTTCATCAGCGTACCGTGATCGTTATCGTGATGATCAACGTTCTCATCTTGATGATATCGACTCATATCATCATCGTTCTCCTAGAGACAATTATCGCGATTATTATAACCGTGATGATAGAAATGGTAATAATGATGATGATTACAGACATCGATCCATCAGAGATTATCGGGAAAAAGAAGAATCTAGTCGCCACCGTTCAAAGGATCCTTACCATTACCGTTCAGCTGATGATCAAAATCGATCATCAGATTATTATGGTGCCAAAGGTTATCGCGATACTCAGACATCTCGATCTAATCGAGATTACCACCCTCAAAGTATTGATAATCGAAAACGTTCTTCGATCTCGCGATTTGATCGGGCCAAAGGTCATTCCTCTTCTTCGTCGGATGATGGAGCCGATGATATCGATATCAAAGATTTGGACGACGAAGACAATGAAGAGAAAGAAATTGAACGCCGTCGAAGGCAGCGACAAGAACTCTTGAAGAAATTACAATCTACTAAAACGAGTTCTCTGGAGGAAACATCAAATGAACCGACTAATTTTTCGACCACAGTCTGTGACTGTGATGATTCAACATCTATGACTTGTAAATCTGACACGAAAGTTCAAGGCCCAACTACATTTGAATCCATATTGAAAAATAACCCACAACCAAATGAGGAGAAAAAACAACAACTACAAAAAGCAAAGCGTAAACAATTTGACATGTTTGCAGATGAAAAAGATGAATTTGAAGATCCTGTTGCACGGTTACACCAATTTGGACATCTGGATGAAAAATCATTGGCCAATAAAAATTCCCAAAATCATCAAAATAGCCAATCACATTTGATCGACAATTGGGATGATTCCGAAGGATATTATCGTAAGTTATTAAATGAATTTAATGTCAAACTTTCTATATATCGTTTTATTCATAGGCATTAGAATTGGCGAAATGTTGGACAATCGCTATTCAGTTTATGGGTTCACCGGACAAGGGGTCTTTTCCAATGTTGTTCGTGCCCGTGATAAAAACAAAGATCAACAGGATGTGGCCATTAAGATTATTCGAAACAATGAAGTAATGTGAGTGTTTTATATTTATCTATCTATTCCGATTTTCATTTGGCTAATTTATATTTTTTTTTCAGGCACAAAACCGGATTGAAAGAGTTAGAAATGTTGAAATGTTTGAATGCAGCTGATCCGGATGACAAATATCATTGTCTTAGGCTATATTCATCTTTCTATCATCGACAACATTTATGTCTTGTATTTGAACCATTAGCCATGAACCTACGAGAAGTGTTGAAAAAATATGGAAAAGATGTTGGTCTTCATATCGATGCCGTGCGGTCTTATGCTCACCAACTATTCCTGGCTTTGCGTTTATTGAAGAAGACATCTATACTACATTCTGATATAAAACCTGATAATATTTTGGTCAATAATAAAAAAACTGTCCTAAAACTTTGCGATTTCGGTTCGGCATCATATCTAAGAGACAGTGAAATAGCACCATATTTGGTTAGCAGGTTTTATCGTGCACCAGAAATCAGTAAGTACTCATTCTTTCTCTTATACTTTAGATTATCATCGAAAAGATTTTCCAACTTTTGTCGTGATTGTTGAAAAATCTTTTCGGTTATTTGTAGTCAATCCCATATGTAGGTCGACATCTTTTTTCAAACATCGACATCGATCCATACAATTTGCACATGCATATTTTGTTTGCACTGAAAAACGGTAAAAGTTCGGGTTTGAATTTTTGATATTTCCGAATTTTTTTTTTCATTCGTGTTTGAATTTATTGAATTTGATCCATGCGATTTGTTTTATTCACAGTTGAGATTGCATCTTCGTTGGTATTACGATTGGTATCTTCAAAATCATTTTTTATAGTGCCCGTGAAAGAAATCTAACTGGAATCTGATTCAGTCAACGATTCAAAATATCCGAACTTTTATTTCGTTTTTCATCCGCCTCAGATTCGATTTTCCAGCCTGTTTTCATTTTTTAAAGATAATAATAATTCAATTTTCACTTTTTAAACATAACTTAATAACTTGATGATTTTTCTTCTTTTTCTTGTTTTAGTTCTTGGATTACAATATGATCATGCTATCGATATGTGGTCGGTTGGATGTACTTTATATGAGTTATACACAGGCAAGATTATGTTCGCCGGCAAAAGTAATAATCAGATGCTAAAGTATTTTATGGATTTACGGGGAAAATTTTCTCATCGTATGATACGAAAAGCAACTTTCCGCGATCAACATTTTGATCATGATTACAATTTTCTATATCAAGATATTGATCGTGTTACCGAAAAGGTGAAAATTGTAACCTTAACAAACATGCAAGCTAGCCGTGAACTTCAATCCGAATTGATGGCTGGTCAACAATTAAGCGAACCATTGTCCCGTAAAGTTGGTCAACTCAAAGATCTGTTGGACAAAATCTTTGTCCTGGATCCTATACGTCGTTTGACTCCATCACAAGCTTTGATGCATCCGTTTATATCGGAAAAATTGTAATCATTGGAATCATTTTCTCGTATTTGTACAGGTAAATGATAGGTTTTTTTTTTGCTAATTTCTTCGCGTTTTTTGTACAAAATGGATAAAGTTTCGAATTAGTGCACTCATCATAAACATTTGTTTCATTTTATAATTAAAATGTATTTCAGTTTCTTAATAAATTTTTTGGAAATTAAACAATGAATTTTCTTTTGATATAAATTGATTGATTTTTTTCTATTGAAGTCATTGTTCTGGTTATTTTGAATGTCTTCGATTGTCTTGTTTGGATGATGTAGATGATGATGATGATGATGATAATCGACGCCGTCGAAGTTCGGATTTTTGTTGACCATCATCGTTCATAGTTGTTTTTGATGTTGGTGTTGCCGATTCGGTCCATTCATCAATAAATGGTATGGTCGAATCACGATCTGTTGATGAAACAGGATTAACCAATGATCGGGTTTGCATCGATCCGCTGTCCACCGCCAATCCCTGATGTTGTTGTAGATTCTTTCTGGGCAAGAAAATCAAATCCGTGTATTGTGCCTTCTTTATAAAAACGATCATGGTAATGATGCCGAACAGTACAAATTTGTTGGTGGATATCTGGCCACTAACATGGTACAATGTCCAATGAAACATCATGTTCATCATCAGGTAACTTTGAAATTTCGCTATCAATCAATGATTCTAACACTTACATTTCTCAAAGGTCTGCTTTTGATTGAATTGTCGGAACAACTTATTCGTTAAGTCGACATATTCATTCTTCATATTTAATAAAGATTGGTCTATCTTTTTTTATTAGGTTCGTTCCTGAAATTTTACAATCATCAAATTGAAATTCGATTGATGATTATGTTCAAGGTCAATTCGGCGGTTCCATTGTTCATCAGCATCCAATTCAAGAATAGTTTGACCATGTTCAACACATGATATCAGGTTAGGCTAGGGTTAGATTAGGCTTAGGAACATGGTCTGAACTATTTCCTATTGAATTTGATGCTGATTGAATCTTTGGAATCAATGAAGCGATCGAAAACATGATTATAAGTCGAAGATTCACGGGATGGAACGCATACTTGCAAATGATCATGGTAAGCAAATGAATAGATTAATTGAACAAACAACTAATATTTATCTTCACTTAGGATCGCCGGCGAACAATTTGGAAATTGATTCTCGAACCACGGATAAAATTTGAACATTGTCTTGGAACATGGACAGCGAATTATGGATCTATTTCAAACGGGACAATTAACGTTGTATGGCGCAATTGGGATGTGAAATATGGATGTATTTTATTATTTCCAATTTTTAATAAATAAATATTTTAATAAAATCGATTAAATTTCAATATAAATCGATTAAATTAATATGGGGGGTAAAGGGAATAAAAGGGGGTCAAATTGCTGCAACAATCGTGATGAACGACACTATCGATAATAAAATCGTTTAGTCGTTTACTCAAAAATGCGGGTCTCCAAATTTGAAGAGTTACGCATTCCTCTAAATTTGGAGACTAGTCTCCACGTTACTTTCCTTTCTGTGATATGAGAAGATGAATAGTGAACGACGTGATACTGATTATCGATATAATTATGATAACAAAAATTACGATGAAAATCGTTTTGAAGATTCTCGTTATGCTCGTACAGAATATCAACATCATCGTAATAGACGAGATTATTATGATGACCGTTATCGTGATGATCAACGTTCTCATCGTGATGATATCGACTCATATCACCATCGTTCTCCTAGAGACAATTATCGCGATTATTATAACCGTGATGATAGAAATGGTAATAATGATGATGATTACAGACATCGATCCATCAGAGATTATCGGGAAAAAGAAGAATCTAGTCGCCACCGTTCAAAGAATCCTTACCATTACCGTCCAGCTGATGATCAAAATCGATCATCAGATTATTACGGTGCCAAAGGTTATCGCGATACTCAGACATCTCGATCTAATCGTGATTACCACCCTAAAGGTATTGATGATCGAAAACGTTCTTCGATCTCTCGATTTGATCGGGCCAAAGATCGTTCCTCTTCTTCGTCGGATGATGAAGCCGATGATATCGATATCAAAGATTTGGACGATGAAGACAATGAAGAGAAAGAAATTGAACGCCGTCGAAGGCAGCGACAAGAACTCTTGAAGAAACTACAATCTACTAAAACGAGTTCTTTGGATGAAACTTCAAATGAACCTACTAATTTTTCGACCATAGTCTGTGACTGTGATGATTCAACATCTATGACTTGTAAATCTGACACGAAAGTTCAAGGCCCAACTACATTTGAATCCATATTGAAAAATAACCCACAACCAAATGAGGAGAATAAACAACAACAACTACAAAAAACAAAGCGTAAACAATTTGACATGTTTGCAGATGAAAAAGATGAATTTGAAGATCCTGTTGCACGGTTACATCAATTTGGACATCTGGATGAAAAATCATTGGCCAATAAAAATTCCCAAAATCATCAAAATAGCCAATCACATTTGATTGACAATTGGGATGATTCCGAAGGATATTATCGTAAGTTATTAAATGAATTTATAATGTCAAACAAACTTTCTATATATCGTTTCATTCATTAGGCATTAGAATTGGCGAAATGTTGGAAAATCGCTATTCAGTTTATGGGTTCACCGGACAAGGGGTTTTTTCCAACGTTGTTCGTGCCCGTGATAAAAACAAAGATCAACAGGATGTGGCCATTAAGATTATTCGAAACAATGAAGTAATGTAAGTGTTTTATATTTATTTATATATCTATTCAGACTTTCATTTGAATATGTTCTATTTTTTCAGGCACAAAACCGGATTGAAAGAGTTAGAAATGTTGAAATGTTTGAATGCAGTTGATCCGGATGACAAATATCATTGTCTTAGGCTATATTCATCTTTCTATCATCGACAACATTTATGTCTCGTATTTGAACCATTAGCCATGAACCTAAGAGAAGTGTTGAAAAAATATGGAAAAGACGTTGGTCTTCATATCGATGCCGTGCGGTCTTATGCTCACCAACTATTCCTTGCCTTGCGTTTATTGAAGAAGACATCTATACTGCATTCTGATATAAAACCTGATAATATTTTGGTCAATAATAAAAAAACTGTCCTAAAACTTTGCGATTTTGGTTCGGCATCATATCTAATAGACAGTGAAATAGCACCATATTTGGTTAGCAGGTTTTATCGAGCACCAGAAATCAGTAAGTACTCATCTTTCTCTTACTTTAGATTATCATCGAAAAGATTTTCCAACTTTTGTCGTGATTGTTGAAAAATCCTTTCGGTTATTTGTAGTCAATCCCATGTGTTTTTCATTCATGTTTGAATTTATTGAATTTGATCCCTGCGATTTGTTTTATTCACAGTTGAGATTGCATCTTGCATCTTGGTATTACGATTGGTATCTTCAAAATCATTTTTTATAGTGCAATGCTCGATTGAGATTTATTATTGGAATCTGTCTCTGTCTATTGCCTGTGAAAGAAATCTAACTGGAATCTGATTCAGTCAACGATTCAAAATATCCGAACTTTTATTTCGTTTTTCATCCGCCTCAGATTCGATTTTCCAGCCTGTTTTCATTTTTTAAAGATAATAATAATTCAATTTTCATTTTTTAAACATAACTTAATAACTTGATGATTTTTCTTCTTTTTCTTGTTTTAGTTCTTGGATTACAATATGATCATGCTATCGATATGTGGTCGATTGGATGTACTTTATATGAGTTATACACAGGCAAGATTATGTTCGCCGGCAAAAGTAATAATCAGATGCTAAAGTATTTTATGGATTTACGGGGAAAATTTTCTCATCGTATGATACGAAAAGCAACTTTCCGCGATCAACATTTTGATCATGATTACAATTTTCTATATCAAGATATTGATCGTGTTACCGAAAAGGTGAAAATTGTAACCTTAACAAACATGCAAGCTAGCCGTGAACTTCAATCCGAATTGATGGCTGGTCAACAATTAAGCGAACCATTGTCCCGTAAAGTTGGTCAACTCAAAGATCTGTTGGACAAAATCTTTGTCCTGGATCCTATACGTCGTTTGACTCCATCACAAGCTTTGATGCATCCGTTTATATCGGAAAAATTGTAATCATTGGAATCATTTTCTCGTATTTGTACAGGTAAATGATAGGTTTTTTCTAATTTCTTCGGGTTTTTTTTTGTACAAAATGGATAAACTGTCGAATTAGTGCACTCATCATCATAAACATTTGTTTCGTTTTAATTAAAATGTATTTCAGTTTCTTAATAAATTTTTTTTTTGGAAATTAAACAACGAATTTTATTTTGATATAAATTGATTGATTATTTTTCTATTGAAGTCATTGTTCTGATTATTTTGAATGTCTTCGATTGTCTTGTTTGGATGATGTAGATGATGATGATGATGATAATCGACGCCGTCGAAGTTCGGATTTTTGTTGACCATCATCGTTCATAGTTGTTTTTGATGTTGGTGTTGCCGATTCGGTCCACCCATCAATAAATGGTATGGTCGAATCACGATCTGTTGATGAAACAGGATTAACCAATGATCGGGTTTGCATCGATCCGCTGTCCACCGCCAATCCCTGATGTTGTTGTAGATTCTTTCTGGGCAAGAAAATCAAATCCGTGTATTGTGACTTTGTCGAATCGAATGGTAAATTTTGATTGAAACTTCCGCTAACCGTATTAATCAAATATGATCCATCATTAGTTTGTATGAATGTATCACCCGGTGCCGATTGTGTTGATCCCTCAGGCAGCTGTTGTAAATGATTGGTCAAACGATTGATCGCTTCGATTCGTTCCATTTCTGCTTTCGCCATTCGGGTCATTATTTTGTCCAAATTATTATTCAAATTTTTAATTCGAGCAAAAATATCCATCTGACCATATTTATAAGATTCGATCACATTACGTAGATTAACCGTACGTGCCAGCTGTTTGAAATGATTTTTTGCAACCTGAAATCGTACCAACGAAATGAATGCATGACTTATGTTTTCCAAAATACGAGATTTATAAAGATCACCCGTTTGGTCTGTGAAGAACGAAGTCAATTGCTGATACGAATTAATATCATGATGGCAATGCCATGCACGTTGTATGACACAAGCAGCAGCTTCTACTTTTCGTCGTCGTTGTCGGCTCTGTTCAACTTGTTCCAATTTCAATGCCAAACCGGCACCAATAATACCAGCCGGCAAAGCAAACATACAAAATCCAAACAGAATAAATAGAGCAGAGATGGTCTTGCCACGCCATGATATTGGAACTTTGTCACCATATCCGACAGTAGTCAATGTTACAATCTAAATTTCGGGCAGATATTATTCAAATACTTGACCTGAAATCTTATTAAGCAATTACTTACACTCCACCAGACAGCTTCAGCCATTGAATCTAACATATCGTTACTTTGATGTTCAACTAAAAAGCCTAAATAGGCTAACAAGGAAAAAATGATGATTTCCATATAGAAAATGATCATCAATTGTTCACGTTGATCGTAAAGAACCGACAAAAATATTCTCCATGGCCGCAATTGACGTTCAGTTATCATAATTTGTGCAACCTGAAAGAAACGATGAAATCCTCTAAAAGCACGGAATGCAAATACTTCGTGACCTTCATGCGGCCAAACCATAACCCATACAGACAAAATGATTACAATCAAATCAATAAGATGTGCGGGTGCCTTGATAAAATTCCATTTTCCACGCAAGCCGCAATATTTAGGTCTACAATTACAAGCCCAAAGTCTTAACAAATATTCCATGGAAAACCAAATGACCACAATTTTTTCAAGAAAATCCAATACTTTCCATTTGCCTCCCATTTCATCAAGATATGGTGAATCGACTTGTGGAAATATCGAAACGATCAAACATGCCATGACCAATATGAATGCAAGTACATGGTAGACGGTGGCCCAGAATGTTGAAGGCCGTTTAAAGAATTCATACACTTTATACTTGAACAAAAGTCGTTTTGATTGTTTCATCTTGTCTAATCGCCTGGATATATTTTCTTTTGTTCGTTCCATTCGAGCATTAAACGAACCTTCTGTGGTGAAAGAATCATTACGACGGCGTAATTTACGCATCATTTGTACTTCATGTAAAATCTGAGATAAACGTTTCTTTTCCTGTACGGTGCTCCCTCGTGGACTGATATTTACGACCACCGATTGACCATTATCTTCTGTGGAGCCTGATTGTTGTTGATTCGAAAGCAATGAAGGTGGTATCGATATTGGAGCTGTACGCGGAAAGGTTTCCTCTCCATCGACACAATTTGGTGATGTATTAAGTTTTTGGGCAGTGTTTTTTGTATTCGGTTTGTTTGATGAATCTTCTGTGCTGATTTCTATGTTTGAATTTGATGAATCTGGAGACTCAGAATCGCCTGGTGGTGGGGCATTAGTCGAAGCTTGCGGTTGATCATTTGAGGGTGGTTGCTCGATCAATTCCGTGGTCCGTACAGCGTTCAACAAAACTGGCTCTGTAGTGATGTTTCGTTTAGGTTGATATAACATTCTGGAATCGATCGATTTTAACTCACGTTCAACACGTTTCGACATTGTGGATTTTCTTTTAGATTCCAACGATTAATTTTTTCTGTAATCTTTTCTGGTGCCGGTAGAAAATATCAACCGATCAACACTGAATCGTAATGATCAAAGATGATAAACATTACAAAATGACAATCTTTTGTTCACGTCTATATTATTGATCGATCAACAAATAAAAATTGATTAAAATTTGATACTATTTTCAAGGACTTGTTGCCTACCAAGTAAACGATAAGTTGCCACTGAATTTGGAAACATGATTCGGTTCCGTTTGAAAAAAATAATTGACATCCATTCATTTCTTTGCTCTGTTTGCAATTTGATAGCATTTTGAAAATTAATCCATTACCGAACATAGATATTTGCATTTTTTTAGTTTGAATTTTATCCATATTTTCATCACTAATATCAATTCACAGTGCGGAAATTTGAGATTTGATTTGGAAAATTCGGGTTGACGATTAAAAAAAATCGGCTTTTTAGGATAAATCCCATTTTGATGTGATCAGATTTGTTGATCAAAATGGGTGCTGAAATCGGATAATGGAAACTATACCGTTTTGTCATTGACGTCATTGGAAATGTAAGATTTACCTTCATGGAATTTGGCTTCATGAATTCAGAAATTTTCCAAAACAGTTTTACAGTCAACCGCTAGATGGTAACACCGACAAATAATTAAATCAGCTGTGCCATAAATCGAAATTATCGAAATAATAATAGTAGCGTTTTTATTAAAAAACCATTATGTTTTATTGCTTGATTTGCTGTGTCATTTATAATGGATTCCAATCATCAGCGATCACCATCAACTCCAATTTCATCAAGCGAAGCTCAAGAATTGATGTCCCTTTTGACTGGAGAAGAATCGCCATCAACCACCAATAAATCATTGAATGAAATTCCTTTGTTTGAATTTACCGAAGCAGATTACATTGCTGTACAATGTGAATTAAATTCAACATTTGACCAATTACTTCGTGAACGGTGGATATCATCTATGAAAGCTGGCTCGATGAATTATTCGATTGAATCCACCGGAAGTTTACAAACCAAAATAATATCCTCAAACAAATATCGTTTTGTAGCCAAGCTTTTAGAAGGTCGAGGCCCGGGTAAACGTCGGACACCGGATACTATGCTCTCTTTAGCCATGCCTTTCAATCCAGACAAATTTAATTTCACCAAAGTCAATTCCAAAGAAATCCTGTTTCGAATCAAATGCTATAATGAAGAAATGAAAGCCCATCTAGAAGCGACAGTATTGGTAAACAAAAGTCCAATCGAATATTGTTCATCATTGTTGGTGCCATATTTAGAACGATGCTTACCACAAGTAATAATTTAGATTCTTGCAACTTAAGTTTCATCGATTATATGTTTACAATAATTAGGTGATGACCGAACAAGCCCTTACCTTAGCTGTTTCAATTTTGGCATTGTCTGATTTTTCCAGTTTACGTTTAGGATACAATTCCTTAGGATCAATGGCTTCAGTGAATCATTTACATTGGCATATTTATTATTTGGATCATCGTTTACTAATCGAGACTTTACCAGTGGTAGATTATGTGCTTCAAGAATGGCCTATACCAGCAATTGTTTTTGAAATTGCCGAACTAAATGACGAATCCATTGCTATCATTATAAAAGATGTGATGCGGATCATTGATTTTTGTCTCGATGATGGCCAAATTTGTCATAACATATTCATAACTCGCACTCCGATGGGTATGATACGAATATTTATCTGGTTACTAGAACCTAGATGGGGCCAAAAAGATCATGCAAACCTCAATGTTGCTATGAGTGAATTATCCGGTTATTTCATGTGCAAGTTACGAGATTCATTCGCAACAATAGATGAAGCTAAATGTTTATTTACTCTTCGGTCGGTAGTATCGGTCCACGAGAAAGCCTTGCCATTATTGCAATGATTAATGCAATGTTAAATTTTTTCAATTTTTAAATATTATTAAAAAAAATCAACAATTTTGAAAGCAACATTGCCAACTTCATTCACTTAGAGATAAAGAAAATTATTTTTCAGTTTTTAAAATTCATTTTATGTTCAAATTATTTTGACCAGTGATCTTTTATGTAACTTTTTATTTTCATTTATAAACTGAAACTATAATGAAAATTCATTAAAATGTTCAAAATTGATTTATTTTCGTTGATTGCGTTTGGAACGATGTCTTCTTTTACAACAACATAAAAAACTAGAACAAGAACAGCAGCAACAATTGCAGTAAAAACAAGCGATAAGCATTATTAGCCAAGTAATAAGAAGAAGAAACAATAAAACCATGGGTACAACTCGAGCATGAAGAAAACTGATCAATTTGAAGTGATCATTTTTCGTTTCATTAAATAGTTTATTTTCATATTCAAGTAGGTTTTTTAGCTTCTCGAAACGTTGACCTAACAACACAGAATGGGCATGATGTTTTCGTATCAATTGCTGACCATGTTCACGAAGGTATTTACCAACAATAGTCTCATTACTAGAATCGATAGTTCCATATTTGATAGGCACCAAATAAGACCAAACGTGTTGATGTTTATGCTGCACAATAAAAGATGTGTTACCAATCATGAATGATGTATTACGATTCAATTGATAAATGATATTGTCACATATGAAAGACCGATTTTTATATTCATCATTAAAAATGGTCAAATTATAGGCAAAACAATAGATGTAGATGAAATTATTATCAGTTTTTATTTGTACAATTTCTTCGGCGAATAAATCTTTTGTCTTTTTACAATAGGATTGACGCCAATATTCATCCAAAAAATCTGGCCAATTTGAGCAACGTGTCTTCATTATATTTGAATTTTCAAAATCATAGGCAAACATAATAGCTGAAGGATTTTTAAGTTTATGATTAACTATGTCTTTGATGCAATCAGTATTAGAATTGTATAAAAATAATTGACGGCCATTGTATTCATAAAAACAAGTTGATGTTTCATCTTGAGATTTCCTGATGACAAATGGATCGACTTCAACGATTCTGTAAATTGAATGCACGACAACGGTAGATAATTTTAGCACCATGTTGACAATATTACCATCAATTTCATTTGAAACCAATGTTTCACAACCATAACCAGTCCAATATTCACGGGGACACTTTTCATTTGAATTACATAGGGTCAAATTGGGAAAAAGATATTCGAAATCTTTAGAAATTTTATTCTTTCTTAATGATTCAAAAAAATTCTTGAAATATGAATCAACCTGATATAATTTAGAACTGATTGACATGTAAAGAGTAGAAGATGCAACATTTAATAGGTTTTGTTCCGACAATCGGTATGATAATTTATCTACATCTTGAGATAGCAGCAACATTTGTCGAAATATTTCATGATGAATTTCATTTGATGTTTGTTGTGACCATTCGAAAAATTGCATTCGTTGAGCATTATTTAATTCAAGTTCATTCAATCTGGCTTCGGTATCGAATTTCGAGAATAATTCTTTAGTGAAGAAGCCCAAAGCGGTGACCACTGAAATCCATTTGAATGATACAATGTTCTCTGGCAATGAACGCTTAGAAATATTATTGCCCCTCATATCAGGCATTTGAATTCGAATTTTATCGACCAAAGGGCAATTTTCGCGAATTTGGCCAATAATCAATTGATTGTATAGGTTTTGGCACCAGATCTGATATTGTTTTATTGACTGATTATCATTGTTCGATGATTCATTTTTAAACTTGAATGATAAAATTTCAATAAATTCTGAACATGGTGATTGAATGGTAAAATTGATAGTGTGAAAAACAACTTGTTGGGCTACTGCATGTGACGATGGACGCCATAATAATGGAGAAGATAAGGTGGGTGAATAATTTTCTTTTTGGTGTACATTGTGTACTCCTAAGATTAATGTGAAACAAATGATTAGCCTAAATATTTGGAAATGAATGAAGAAATTATATATAAAAATTAGGAGATTAATTGTATAAATACATTGTATATATAAATTGTAATTGACATTATTAGGTCGATTTTTAAGAATCATTTTTATAATCACTTCAAATTCGAATGAGCGATACAACAATGATATATGATGATAATTAGACAATATATATGAATAAATAAAAGAGACGGAAAACGAAACGCTCTTTTCAATGTGTATCGTTTATTTTGAACAGTACATAGACACACACACATGGCTCGAAATTTGAAACAATTTTTGAAATTTTGGCTCATTTTTCATCAATGATTTGCCTAGCCAAACGTTTGATTTCCAGAATTAAAGCCGTCTCATCTTCATGTTTTTGTTTCATGTCAATGTACCTAGAACTGTGTCCAAGTTTTTGTTGGAAAATGTATTTACTTGGTACATCCGCTATTGGCTCAGAAACAGCACTCAAACGTATCACATCTACTTCATTTCCCCGTTGGATATGATGAGCTAGACCATGACGGAAAAAAGCTGAATTTCGATTACAATAAAAAACACTTGTTATCGTCAATATTGAAACTACCAGAGTAACCATAATTATAAAAAATCGATTTTTCATTTTGTCCCATCCCAGCTTATATAATTGCTCCGAATCACAAATATTTTGTTGAATATTAATCTACAAATTTGAGATAAAAAACATGACATCTCTAATCAAACTTATATCATACCGTTTTTGTGTCGATTTTCAATGGCAAAACACCAAGAATTTCCAAACCGTATGCATAGCCAAATTCATTATCATATATGTAAAGAAATGTTTTATATTCAAGTTCGACTGCACCTGTAACCTGAAATTTTTCTCCATCCATATGAAACCCATTATCCCATTGGCCAGTCTTTTTTTCGTATTCATAACCACTGACATTTTTTTTGTAATGAAAATCTAAGTAATTTTTTTTTGTGTCTTCGAAACTTACTATGCTCTCCAATAGCTATTGGTATTGTTTTGATTGGCAACCCTGATGAAAAAATAATACATCTGAAATTCGTTAATCGAAACAAATGCATAGTTTTTCTCAGGAATCTCTTCCGCATATTCATTTTCTATCTTGAACATTGTCTCAATGATTATATCAGGAAAAAAATACTGATTATCTTTTAATTTGAGTTCTTTCTCTAAGAATAGACCATACAAATTGGACATGCTTTTCATTGGACCATTCAACCATTGTTTTACCAAATTGGTGAAACGATTATCCACCACATCATCATGTGCATTCAAGTATACAACATAACGAAAACTATTTTGAACAGATGAATCCAAATTTAAATCAAACGATTTATATTGAAAAATTTCGATTAAAACGTCCTTTTCTTGGATATAAACTCCACCAATCGATATAACTTTAATGCGAAAAAAAACAATTTATTGATTATAATCAAAATATTTATTTACATACAATTTTTCCAAGTTGATTGCAAGTAATTGTCCGATCTTTCTAATTGCCATCGATTTTGTTCAGTGACAAAATCATGATTGAACTTGTAAATGACCATTCTGTTCTCTCTATCACCAATATCCCAAATCATGCTTTCTCTTCGTGAAACTTGTTCAACTTCGATAGCTTTATTGAATTTTCCATCATAATAAATAGCAACATATTTTTTTCGTGAACAAAATCTTTTTGCAATCATCCATTGATTTGCCGATTTATCGACATTGATCTTCGGACCATATAAGTTTGGCTGAGTGATTGCTATAATAACACGAATTGAAAACAGTTGAATGATTAAAGAATACATGCTCATCGTTATTATAAATTAGAATTCGTTGAACAATTTGAGATTCATAAATTAAGAACAATTTATTTTACATTAAATTTTTTTTTTTTGTAAATATCACAAGGATTATGGAGAAACAATTAATTTGATTATAGCGATATTTATTCAAAAAGCTGTGGATTCATTGTTGTGATTACCCATTGAAGCATTTGATGGCGTTGATTTGAATACAAATGGCAGTTCATAAGGATGAGCCGATTTTGTCGTAGCTTGTGATAAATTAGATGCTGTTTGAATCGATTGATTGATACAATCAGTAGCAGCGGAAGTATTGGACCACGAAGGCTGATGATGGTGATGGCGATGTTGTTCAACATTGACGACAGATTCTGTCAATGTAAAAGGAAATTTGGAGGCTGAAATAGACGACGAAAGTGGTGGAGGAGGTGGCGGTGGTGGTTGCTGCGGTCCATCGCAATACATTTCAGTGAACTGATTTTTTTGAGCTGAAAAATTTGCATGCTCTTGTTGGTGATGGCTCAATGTACCGTAGAGAGGATCATCTTGAGATTTTCTACCACCGATCAAACGTACTGCACTTCCAGTGGTTGTTGTAGCAGTCGCTGTAGTCGTATTGGATCCACCTGATACACTACCTCCATTACAATTAGTCGAATTTTGAAATTGAACCGAAGAAGTGGCATACGCCACTGGAAGAGAATACAAAGGATATTGAGACTGTTGTTGTTTGATATCAGCAACTTGATGATCACAAATGGCTGCCCCTGGACCACTGAAACCCAATGAATGACATGAATCGTTACGTAAATTATATTGAGATGATGATTTGCCAGATCCATCCAACAATTCATCAATCGATGCAGAGCATGGCATCTTGGATCCATTGCCATTGGCCATACTACCAGGATTTGAACCATAAATGTGTTCTGATGTGATTCAAAAATAAAATGAAACATATAAATAATTAAATTATTGCATTTTAAGTTCAAAATACCTCCTGCTCCCCCTGTGCCTCCAACAGTACTACCATCATTTGAATCCATACAACTTCCAAGTTGGCCAACGCCTTCTTCGCCGATTGAATATTGACCAGATAGTTTCGAACCAGAAGCCACTTTATGATGTCGCTGTCGAGTATTAGCAACCAGTGAGAACATTAAGAAATTTTGCCGATTCGTCTGGATAGCACAAACGACAACAAACACTAAGAACAATATGACCAGGGTACAAGATACCGGAACGATGTAATGAAGTTGAGTAAACATTGATGATCGAAATGAATGGTTATAGATTTGTGAACGTGTTGATGAGGAACCTTGTCGCCCTTGTTGTTGGCCATTGGTTCGACCATGAAATTCTTCAATCGCTTTCAGCGTTAATGGAGCAATCGTTGAACCATCAGATTTACGAGTTGAAAAAATGTATTCTCGATGTACAGTTCCAGCTTCAGTAACTGCTTGTATCAATAATTCATACCATGATCCGGAAAACAAATTTGTAAGCTCTATGATTAGTTCGGCAGTTATGTTGCTATGAATATTTGATTCGACTTCTATCATAGTTGATTGTTCACCAACTGAAGTTGATGGAGTTATAGTCAGTTTTCGATTTGTGGCTACATCTCCGAATACTCTAAAATCCAATTCAAATTTTTCGATTGGACAACCTAGTCGTTTCCATTGATTCAAATTGATTCTAGCATTCGAAATATTTGGTTGAACAAAATCTTGTACAGATTCTGGTGGTACGGGAACATTCCCTTCAGTTCGTGCAAGGATTACTTCACTGGGATCACCTTGGCCAGCGCCATTATAGGCGTTTACATAGATGAAATATTTGGTGCCACAACGAAGTAAACCTAGGACATATGTCCTTCGATGAAAAGTTGAAATGACTGGAGCCGGCTCAGGATGAGTGAACACAGTATCAATTGAATTAGCATCACTCAAAGGTTCCAATTCGATTTTGATCGTTTTCCAATCGTTCATGTGATCATCAACTGAAGTGCTGACTTTTTCAGCGACATTAGCCACGCTTGATTTCAACTCATTTTGTGTTGCCGATTTATATGATATGACAAATCCGGAAATAGGTTCTTCTCCTTGAACAGACCACATCAATTCAATTGAACTCAAATTCGATTTTAATGCACGAATTCTAGGAGCTGATGGTACATCATAATCCAGAGTTTTTCCTTGATACTCTGAGCTCGAAGGACCTGCGCCAGCCAAATTGAAAGCTTGAATTCTAGAAATGATAAAAAATTTATTTCAAAAGTTTTCGAAATTATTATTGTAACAAACTTTATATCGTAACGTGTAGCTCGTTTTAGATTGTTGAGAATAAAACTTTCATGAGTTTCACTCGATGAAAGATCAATGCCAGATTTGATTGTTTTAAATACAAATTCATTCAATTGATTTTGGTGATCATTATCTATAGTATCAAGATGTGGTCGATATCCAATGTAGTAGCCTGTAATTGGCGGAATATAGACGTTGCTTTGAGATTTATGATTGCTCGCAGGGGTCTGGGGTTTTCGTGATGGTCTCCATGAAATTTTTAAGCTACGAGTATTTAGCGGTAATATTGTTATGTCGGTAGGGACATCGTTTGGAGCTATGAAATAAAAAGATGAGGTAAAATTAATATGAAAATTTATATATAATTTATATATACTTACGTTCTTCGGTAGTTTTGACAGTAATACTATCACTAAATGAACTGGAACCAACAGAATTTTTAGCTTTGACCTGTATTACGTATGTGGTTGCTGGAGTTAGATCACCTAATTGAAATGAAATGAACTTCTTGTGAGAATCTATGGTCGCCGTAGTCATGGATGTTGCCAAATATGCAGCATATGGAGCCAAAGTAACTGTGTTTGATATGGACCCAGAGATGGTTCGATAAGAAATCACATATTCATTAATGGGAGAATTCCCATCGAATGGCATTGGCCAAGTAAGTTTAATCGATTGACTAGCAATTTCATCAGCACGAATCTCTTCAGGTCTATCAGGTTGTTCCAAAACGGTCACAGTAAAATTTTTTCGTATGGAACCATAACGATTCTGTGCTGTGCAAAGGTAAACTCCTGTGTCACTACGTTCAACATGACGTATGGTCAACTTTGTTGCATAATATCTAGTAGTAGGATATGACTGTTTTTTGTTGGATTGATTTATTAAAAATATATCAGTAAAGTTAAGTGTTGATCCGGTTAACCCATCTTGATTCACTTCGAATGTTTGAGTCGTATGATATCGATCATAAGAGGGATCGGTCATCAAAAGTTTCGATTTTGATGAAGCTATCACCGGAGTAGAACTAGTATCTTTAAACCAACGAATATTCACAAGCTCGTCAATGTTAGTATTTGAAAGATTCGAAAATTTAGATGCTTGAACATTATCGATGTATTCAAGTTTGACCAAACAAGTCAACACAACCATTTCCCCGAATTTTATTTGTTTACTTTCATAATAACCATGGAGAAATTGTGGCGGAACTTAATAAATTAATAAAAACCATTTAAAATCATTGATTGCTGAGTTTATGGTCTACTTACAATGGACAGAGAGTCTTATAATGGTACTTATACCGCTACCGACACCATTAAAAGCGCTACACATGTATCGTCTATGATCATCACGATTCACTTCTTTGATGATCAACGATCCATTCTCTAAAATTTGCATATGAGGATTACTGATCACAGCATGAAAAGAATTCGAATTTGAGTTTGAACTTGAAATTTCAGGTATTGATTTAGGCTGCAGCTTTTTTGCATTATTATTATTGTCCAGAAAATCATTTCCTTCTACTTTCCATCGAACTTGTGGTTCTGGAATACCTTCAGCTTGACAGTTAATCACTAACATTTGTCCTGAAATAGCTATGATATCTTCGGGCTCGAAAAGCCATATTGGTGCCACTATTTTTAAAACAAGAATGTGAATTAACCACTTAACACAGGTTTTCGATATTTACCATTAACACGAAGATCAGCATAATGACGGTCACTGGCAGCCATATTGGATGCTATACACGTATATCTACCAACGTGACGACGTTTCAGTGCAGTGAATGTAATACTGGATGTGAATTCATTCACCATTTCGATTTTGCGATCACCACTACTAGTTAATGGTTGGCCATCCTTAAGCCAATGAATGTGTATTGGTGAATCACCGGATATCACAGCACATACTACAACACTACGCATTCCTTCTTCAAGGTTTGGTGCAAACGTGAAATTATCAATTCGAGGACCAGCTAGAAAAAGATATAAATATCGAGTTTCATATAATGATTCAAATAATATAGGACAAAACTTACTGATGACATTTAAATGAAGTTTGGTTCGTGAAGTAGACTCTTTGTTGCTAGCAAATGCCACCTCACATTCATATGTTCCTTCATCTTCCTTCTTGTTTATTTTACTGCCATTCATATAGGTTAATTATTATATCAAGTCCGGAGATTATTATCGAGATAAAAACATTTTAGAAGGGCGACCATTATTATCATTATCAAAATCGTTTCATACGAAACAAAAAGTAACAATTTCTAATTATACACACAAGAACTATTTTCGTTTCGATAATTATAATGACCTACCTGATATGTAATGTTCCATTAGGTGATATGTGTTGACGCCCATTGGTTGGCAATTTTCGTTGTGATCCATCTGTGTGAATTGAGGAATGTAAATTAATATCGATGATCATAATGATCTAGGATAATCAACTATACCTTTTCCAAACCAACTTATAGTCTTAATTGGATAACCATAGAACGGACAATTCAGATTTATATCAGCTCCAGAGAGGACAGTCAAGTTCGGTGTATGAACTTTGACTGCTCCTTTGCCAATAACGTTTACTCGTGCTTCATAATAAGTTGAACCAGCTAAATTTTTTGCTGTACATCGATAAACTCCACCATCTTCGACACGGCTGCCTGTAACATTGAAATGACTGACTAATAAAGAATCAAATGTCGATGATCCATGATGGTTGTGATTATCTTTGATGACGAAATCACCTAAACGAAATCGAGTTGATGTTGGCATAGGCATTCGATCCAATGACCATTCTATTTGCGCTAATGGTGCACCACGCGATACACAACGTAGAGTAAAACTTTCTCCCGGTTGAATTGTTAGCTCATTAAAGTGTTCCACAATAGATGGCGGTTGATCTATTCAAAAAATCATATGTGAAAAAAAAAAAACCAAAATTGTTTTGTAGCATTGAACTTCAATGATGATGATATGAATCAATAATCGGATTAATCTTTCTCCTAGTAACTATATATATCATATAAAGATCAGAGGATGAATCCATTAAGAGATCAAAGAAGATCAAATTATTTTTATTCATCTATTTCATAAAATTAACACAGCATTTCAAAAAAAAAATCTGAACATATAAAAATAGTTTGATACATTTGAAATGCCGAAATAAATAATAGCATCAATGAATTTTTTCATGATCGAATCATTAGAAATAATAATGGAAATGTTTTATTCCTATCATTTGAAATATATTAGAAAAATTTTCAAATTCAGTTACGTTCTAATCTTGGTTGGTTGATTTTTTTTATACATTCTTCAATATAGTCTATAATAATGAATCAAGACTTAAATCACATCTTGGCACATTAAACACGCGCAACATAAAAATAAATAAATAAATAAAAAATTATTTTCTTGTGAATTTGGATCAAATCTAGAAATTGGTTCTCGAAAAAAAACCATAGGTACCATTGTTTTGTTTTTATTGCTAATGGAGTAAGGATACTTTGAATTTCTCTTTGAAATTAATTGTCCACCATTTTGGAATAGAAACTTTTTTTTTTGTTCACTATTTTCGTTTCGTTAATTTATCATCCAATAAAAAACTATTGTTTATTCATTCATTTCACGAGCTATTTAACTTTGTCAAGAATTTTTGTTTTTTGTTTTCATTTTATAATAGAAAGCCCTAATAATACTATAGAATGGTAAGAGATTTTCTTGGAAATGAATTTTCAGTATTGTAGATTGGACAAAATTTCAAAAGGATCGAAATTAAAATCATCATAAAATATCATCATCATTATCATTATTATGTTTAAAAACAAACTGAACTTTACATATATTCCAAATTAGTATTTAATAATTGAAAAATACTCACGATAATTTGGAATTTCAGGAAAAAAACATTGCATAATGTTGAGACTTAAAAAAAAGCTAACGATAATAAAAATGAAAATGAAAAAAAAATTTACCAAACCAGGAAAAATATAATATTCGACCATTGAACAATGGCAATGACATAGATTCATTTTCAACATTCATCCATATTCAATTGTATATTGTCAATATATATATATTATCAATGTTGAATTTTATCTACTAGAACATAAATGAATATAAAATGACAAAATCTTTTTAATGCTCCAAATGTTATATGTTGTCCGGAAGATAGTATATCCTGTTGAAAATCATTTTACGGTTAATTAATCCAATTCGGCTACACATGTGTATTAGATATACTGAAATGAAATTCATTTTCTATTCGTGCGTGTGTGTGTGTGTGTGTGTGTGTGAATGTATGGACAAGAGAATAAATAATTTTCTATGCCACATGAAACCGGTCATCATTGAATATTTTTTTTTTTTTTTATATATGGAACACACACACACACATCAACTGGCCATTGTTTGATATGTCAATGCTATTATAATCAGAAAAAAAACATGATAAAAAACTTTGTCCCACCAAATCCTGTCAGAAAACGCTTTGACATTCATTGAATAGTGATTATTTTGGTGTATTTTCCATTCAATTTTTTTTTGCATCATCATTTCACAATGATTTGAATTTAAATTGAAATTGCCATCAAAGACATAAGCATTTGCCTTTTTTTATATCTATCACGATCATCAATTGACCGTATGTTAGAATCAAATTCATAGAAATGTGCCTAATAAATATGGATCGACCATTAGTAAAGTTAAAATAAAAGAAAAATGATCAAGACCGATGGTATGATGAAGAAAAAACGGAGGCCCTGAAGGTATTGACAAATACAATAGCAAAATCTAACATTTTATTGAATACAATTCAATTTAGTTTAAAAAATGAAAATCAGCTCTTTTTAAAATCGAACATTCCAAATTCATCGTAAAGTTTACTGAATTTTTTTCGTTAGAATTCCAAATGATGACCATTCATTCATCTTTGTGTGTGTGGAAAAAAAATTCAATTGAGATAGAAAAATTCGTGAAAGAGATTTTTTCTCCATTTCAACTCGTAGTTGATTCGATCAAGAAATGTAGCAAATGAAGCGAAATTTGATTTTCTTCATTCTATTATGGCTAACAAACCGTATACAGGAGTAATTCCACCATTAAAACTAACTACTATAGAAATACATTGGATTTTACCATCAATGATCATTCATCCAACTTTTAGAATGCCAATATGGAGTTAATGATTCACAAATTTTTTAATGATTCTTGCCAGTATTGAATCTAATCAGGCAAGAAGAATTGACGGAAAGAAGAGTTCATCAAAAATGTGAAAGAATGAAACTAAAGTAACCTTTGGCTTATTATAGAAACTTTTTTCGGGCCACTTACCCACAAATTGAACTTGTATAGTAGCTTGTGTCGTTTCGAAACGATTACGTGCAAAACATTGATACATTCCAGATTTGCTACGATCATCTAGGGCTAGATCTAAATGCTGTATGGCGGATATATCGCGACGATTATTGCTGTTCGCCTGATCTACATTCATGTCAGTAACATATACTTGTAAATAGTTGGCAGTATTCATTTTGATTCGGCTTCGAAGATTCCCTGATCCTGATCCTGGATAGTAACCAGATGGTGATGATGATAATGAATCCAAGTTAACGACACCATGATGATAATGATAATTTACTGCTGGTTGTAGCTTTTGTTCTTGTTGTTGTTCATTTCCGTCTCTTCCGCTTTGGCCGGAATTAACTAGAATTACTTGCGTATTGTGAAGCCAATAAACATCAGACAATGGAAATCCATGCACTGTACATCGTATTCGAATAGTTTCACCACGAACTCCACGAATTATTCTTGGTTGTTTTGATTCCTGGTAGAACTGCTGTTGCTGCTGGCGCAAATGAGGAGTTGGCATCATGGTTGATTTCTTCGATGAAACGCCCTGAATTGGCACAGAATCTATCCGCACCGTGAGCGGTGAACGAACATTGACTGTAGTGATACATCGATCATAGCCGACTGTATTGGCCACAATGGCAATATAATGACCAGCGTTGGAATGGGTGATCGGTCCAGTGATCAATAATGTGCTACCCATTGATCGAAGACGGCTCAACATCAATTGATGGCGACGATATTCTTTGCTATTTGGATCGACATTCTGGCCACCAATAGTGTTAGATGATTGTGAAGAGGATTGATCATTAGATTGTTGCACAGGAATAGGCATGGCAAATGAATTGATCGATGATGATGATGACGACGATGATGTTGATGGAGATTTTGCTGCTGTTGTTGTTGTTGTTGTTGAGACAATAACAATGAGGCAATTTCCGTTTCCCAATCAAAATGCACTCCAAATGGAATCCAATACCATTTATAAGTAGATAATGGTTGTGAATGTGCAGCGCATGGTATCAACAGTGGTTCCAATTGCCCATCATCAGCATCAAGTTCGTCTAATCGATGAACGATTCTTGGCGGAAATATGTCCTTCTCGCCACCTAATAAATTTTGTTGTTGCAATAAAAACGAAAAAAAAGAAAGAATAAAATAAAATATGAAAGAATTAGTATGGTTTTCATCATCAATAATCGTGAACAATGAATTAGAATTCTAGTAAAAATGAAAAAAGACAAAAAAAAATCATCACACACAAACGTCCGATTCCTAGCCTGAAATGACATTCGATTTCTTAGCCATAGAAAATACGATACTAATGGTAAAATCGATATATCGGAAACATTCATATACATTCAGGCACAAACAGGAAACTGCTACCAAAGACAAACTTTGAAGTCGATGTTTTAAGCAAGTATGCAAGTATTGTATTCAAACTACATTTATGTCTGATTGAACAAAAAAAAAAATATTTCTATCAATGAAACATTACATTACATACAATTCATGACAATTATTTGCGGACAATAACCGAAAGAATTGAATATGGTAAACTGTCTTTATATGAAAATGTGTGTGTGCTTCACTTGAATAATCATTGTAAAATCTGGAACAAACAAATGAAAACAATGATAGTCAATGGATACGACAATAATTATTATTATTATTATTATTATCATCATCATCATTATCATCTGAAATTCGAAATGGATATTGTTGCGAAACAAAATAAACGCTTTTATTCTTTTTTATTCTTGTTTGATTTTGATTGCTCTATTCCCTATGTAAATAACCAAATATACACAGGCAGACACAAACATTTATTTGGAATGAAAGAGGATTTTTGGCGTTAATATAACACTTGGGAATTTGCAAAATGACGATGATGATGATGATGATGAAGAATTTCGAATGATCGTTTCCATGAATATCTGTTATATATGAAAAAAGGAAATCCGGATTTTTTTTCTCGACAATGGAATTCGAAATGGAATGGATCATAGAAATTCACATTCACATCGATTCATTACAAATGAACAAATATACAAAGCTCAGCATGTGAAATTCATTCACTATATCTCCGGTTATGGTTTCTTGGGTTAGAAATGGTACACAACAAATCAATCTCGTATTTAGATTTTGTCTATCATTTTCATTCATTGCTCAATTTTCGTTAAATATAAAAAAACAACATGAATACATTCCAATAGAGGGGAAGAACATTTTAATAGAAAAAAAATAGATCAAAGGTAAAAATCATGGAAAAAAATCCACAAAACAGGATTACCATCACCACCACCACCACCATCAAGCAGAATCAATTTTCAAAAACAAAACAAACAAACATACATTTTGTGAATAAATGATTAAATGAATACGAACATGAGATTTTCATATTCGTATAAATAGATGTCAAATAAAAAAAAATTTTCTTATGGCATTTGTCACTATTATTTGTGATGGCAGAAAAAATTTCTCTTTTTATTTGGTTACTTGAAAATGAAACGAAAACAACAACAACAACCGAAAAACCAAATAAAAATAAAAATAAATTCCATGATGATGATGGTATATATCCGAGAAACAAAAAAGAAAGGGAAACAACCCCTTAGCCATGATGTGATTAATTTAAATGGATACAATTTGCGAAAAGGCAAAATGTGCACTCACCAAAAAAAAAGTTGGCAAGAAAGAGAAAAAAAAAAAATTTACTTCATTCAAGTACTATGTGTGTGTATATTTTCATCCATTCATTTCAGATAGTCGACGGAAATTATCATCATCATCATCATCATTCTCATAAATTCTTTTTCATGTCTTCTTTGCTTGATTTTTTTGATTGTTGGAAAAATGAATCACATTATTCACGGGAAACATACATGTTTTTCAAGATTCAAAACGGATTCATACAATCTATCCATTTCTAAGATATTCACTTTATTGGATTGAAATGAATGATGATGAGTTGTTCATATTTGTCTGCATTTGCGCCTTAGGGCAATCAACAAGAAAAAAAAAGAAATTTCTCATTTCACATTGAGAATAAAATGGAATTCATGATTGTAAGCAATAATAATAATTCACCTAAAATTTGTCCAAAATTGTAAGCTATGAAGAATGATTCGCCCAAAACAACAGCTATATATCGAAAATCAAACAATTCAAAACTGAGAAATGAAAAAAAAAATCAGAACCAGATTTAAACTGTTGTTGTTCAAAACGGAAAAAAAATCTAACTCCGTCAAATTTAGAACAATCATCATAGTAAACATTTGAATGGAAAGAAAAATTCCACCGGAAATGATCATGATGAAAATAAATTGAATTCAAAATGACGAATTGCTTCGATTTTGTTCATTGAATGAATGAGAAATGAAAAAAAAAATTCTGAAGTTGTAATCTAATTGGAAAATCTTTATATATAGTTTGTTGGAACAAATGGATCCAAATTCTTTGGTATAGTAGGTAATATTACTGAAGAAAAAAAAAGAAAAATGTGTAGATTGAATATCATTATTATTATTATTATTATAAAGGATGATGATGATGATGAAAAAAAATTAATAACGAAAAAGAAAAATTGAGGCCAAAAAAAATTGGTAAAAAATTTTTGGAATTTTTCTCTCCTATGTTCTTTCTTTTTCTCATAATAATCTATATCGCTGAATCGGATTCAAGAATTCAAGAAAAAAAAATGAATTTGTAAGCGGCGTTTTTTTTCCTCGCTCTCCTTGACAATTCAAATAGTTGATGTGAGACAAAAAAAAATCCGGCCATATATAGAAAAATTGTCTTTATAGTGTTCTCAGAAAAGAAAAAAGGGGATATAAAAAAAACGCGCTTTAAGAGAAATGTAAATGTGAGAATAAGGTTTATATTCTACACATGTGACATTATAAAAGGGTTATATCTTTGTCATCATATTGTAAATGGGATCTAGTTTCTTACGATTCAATGAATTTTCAAGGCACACCATTACCATTTCGTCTATGCAAAATTCAATATGTGGATGCTTTCGATCGAAGTAATTCTTGTTTTGATTATGTTTCATTTTACTGTTTTCTGAAGCTTTCATCCGGTTTTGATTAAGATCTTGTCCGCTATAATAATTATATGGATCCAATCCAGACAGCAAGTAGGCCGGAGGGAATTTGGTAGTTGAGTGAATTGAATTATTATATTCGGATATGACTACATCTGCGCAGACGGCCCAAGACTTGTTGGGAAAGTCGAGGACTTTACATCTTAGCTTACGTACAAGGGTCTGATTAACTCGCTCCACCATTCCGTTAGATTGAGGATGATCGACCGGTGTGAAGATGATGTTGATATTCGATTCGATCAAATATTGTTTGAACTCCTTTGAATTGATTGCTCGGTATCTGTCAGCGACAATGAGTTTCGGGACCGCATTCTTCCTGATTTTGTTCACTAATTTTATGAAATCTTTAGCATTTTGTGTTGACGATGATGTGGCCCAAACGAATCTCGTGAATGAATCGATAGCCAAATGTAAATAGCGTTTTTCGGAATTTCCTGAAAGCCCACCGACGGTATCAATAAAGATAATATCATACGGTTCTTCGGGTGGACCTATTTGACCCATTGTGCCGGCTTCTTTAGGTTTTCTTGTTTCTAAACATGGAACACAAGATTTAATAATTTCATCGATAATTTGATTCGTGTGTTCGGTGTAATACTTCATAGAAAAGTGTTCGTTCATTTGGCAGTGACCTAAGTGACCGAAGATGTCATGAATGTCCCATAAGATTTCAGTTGCGGCTTCTTGAGGGATATAAATTCTTTCTTTTTCGCCTTTCTTTTTGTAAATGATTCCGTTTTTCAATATGCATTTTTTTGGAATTTCGTTTTTTATGGGTGCTTGCAAATCCTTGATATCTTGTAGCGTCAATTGTGAAACTTCAACCGGAGGATTTCTCGACAGATAATCCGCCTCTTCGTTGTCCTTCCCCGGAATGTAGTTGATTTCAAAGTTGTATTGATTTAGTCTCATGGACCAGTTAAATAGTCTTGTCCGTGGGTGTTTGGACTTCATCAGGTATTTCAGCGGTTGGTGATCGGTTTGAATCAGAAATTTCCGGCCAGTTAAGTAGTAGTGCCAATACTCAACCGCCTCAACGATCGCTAAACATTCTTTCTCGGAAATGGTGTATCGTTGTTGGTAAGGTAGCAACTTCCTTGAGAAATATGCTATTGTTACCATCTTGTCATCATCATCGATTTGTTTGAATACAGCGCCGATGCCGACTTCGGAAGCATCCGTTTTCAATATGATCTTTTTCCCCGGGTCGAATATTGCGAGTGCTGGTTCCGAGATCAATATTCGTTTGACTGTATCGAACGCTTGTTGAGCTTCTTTTGTCCAACGGAAAGTTGAATTTTTCTTTGCAATTTCATACAAAGGTTGCAGTATCTCTGTTCGATTTGGAATGAATTTGTGGTAGTAATTCGTTTTGCCCAGAAAACCTCTTAAAGATCGAAGGTCATGTGGTGGTGTCAGATCTTTTATGGCTTGTATCTTGCTGTTAATTGGTTCAATTTTGTTTGGTGATATTCGAAAGCCCAGATAATTGATGGCCTGTTTTGCAATTTCGCACTTAGATCCTTTTAATTTTATGTTCTCGGCTTTAATCATTTCAAATACTGATTTGATGTGAAAGAGATGTTCTTTTTGAGTTGATGAAAAGATGATTATGTCATCTATATAGTTATGTGCGAATTTGGAAAGCCCATGATCCAGGAGTAGGTTGTAGATTATTCGCTGGAACAGAAGTGGAGCGTTCTTTAAACCGAACGGCATTACAACCCATTCGTATTTGCCATTCATCGTGATGAAAGCGGTCTTACTACTATCTTCTTCTGCTACCGCAATATTTGTGTCCCCTGACGAAACGTCTAATGTGCATCATCATCATCATCATACTATTATTATACAAAATAATTCCAATGTTGATGATGATGGTGTTGGTATTATGATTCGATTATTCAGCAGAAAAAATTCATCCATTCATTCATTCATTCATTATAATAATAATTTTTTGTCGCTTATTTGTTGTAAATTCTAATATCTTGCATTGCTTTTCTCCAAATTTGGAAGAAATTTCATTTCATTGAATCTATTGTCTGTCTGTTTTTTGGGTAATGTTCAACCAAAAAAAAAAAATAAAGAAGTAATATGCTCAAAAAAACGACTGTAATATATTTAAATTAAGAGAATCTTGACTCTTTCCATACAACATAAACATGTACACAACACATACACAACAACAAGAACAAGATTGTGGAATTTTGTTTTTTATTTCTCTCTTTCTGATTTTTTTACACTGAACAAAAACTACTAGAAATCATGTTGGATATTGAAATTGAAATAAATTTTCAAAAAAAAAAAAAAAAAAAATTTTCAATTTTACATACCTGAAAGAATTATTTGTGCAAATGTACTTTCAGCCAATGGTCGTTGCTGATTCGGTGATGTTTGTAATGATGGTTGTGATATCTGTTGCTGATTATTTGATAATGATGGCTGCTGCTGTTGTTGTTGTTGTTGTTGTGAATTGATGATTGATGTGTATATCTGAATGGTTTTTGTATGGAAAAAAAACTATTTATTTTTTTTTAATTGAAAACAAATTACATTATTATTTTACCTGAAAATCGTTGTTGTGATTTTTTATTATACTGATATTGTTGATGATGATAGACGGCACATTGATAGGTTCGTCTTGCATCATGTTCATCAACATCTCGTACATGTAGCTCACCACTTGGATATGCCGTATATTTTCCTATATTAAATTAAATGAATAATGAATATGAATATGATTGAGACATTAGATGGATTTATATTCTAAACCAATTCAAAATAGAAAAAAAAACTTCTAAAATCAATAGGAAAAATCATTTGTTCATGATAATGTCAATGAAAAGCTTAAAAACAAAGACCAATATATTGGTGGTCGAGCAATTGAACATAATCCATATATATTAATAATAATAATAATAATCGAAAACTTTGATGATCACGTTATTTGTGATAATGATTAAATTTCAAACAATGATAATGATCATCGTCATAAATGACCGATGATGATGATGATAAAAAAAACACTTACAATTATTCATTAACCTTGATCAAAAAAAAGATCATCGTGATGATGCATCATTAGTAACCAAAGAGTGAATGTAGATGAAAATATGAAAAAAAACTATTTTTCTTGAAAAGGTAATTGTAATTGTTTCCATAATAAACGACGATAGAGCAAGAAAAGGAGAGAGAAAAATCACAATCATTCATTATTTTTTTTTTTTTTTTCCATGAAATGAAGATAGACCCAGAGCCATTATCTAATAAAATGTTTGCATTCGTTGTTTCGGTAATGGTGATTAACCGATACTAACGGTGCTACACACACACACACACACACATGCTATTTCTATCTATACTCGAGTATTTGATAATGAAATTATAATTTGGACTTACATTTGATTCTATACACATAACTAGAATTTTTTTTTTATCTTTCGCATGATATTTTATAAATTCAACTCACGTTCAACAGTAGCACTATAGGGACATTCATTTGTTATATTATGCTCATCGTCATCATCATCATCATGATATATGTGAACGGACAAACGAAATGGAAAAATGTTTTTGGATGGAATCGACAAAAAAAAACAACAAAAAAAATTATGAACAAATGAAAAAAACTAAATTCTTTAGTTATCATCACTGACAAAAAAAAAGATCAGTTACAACCACGCCTTTTTTTTTTATATTTGAAGGCGTATTCGTATGGTGAATAATTCTACCTTAAGAAGAATGTTAGACATGAATATATATATTGCATGTGAGGGAGGTGTTTTTTTTGTAATTAATACGATACTTTTCATTTTGACAATTGATTTCGTATGATGACGAGATTTCCAATTTCCAATTCGGATCAAATCGTTACCAATCAACATCAGAACAATATATAGAACAAGTTCAAGTGGATGTCATAAATTTTTATAACTATTTTTACTGGTCACCACCACATCAAATTGGTGACAATATAGAAATGAAATTCCCAAATAAACAATATATTGGCCACTTGAGAGCAATTACAACAATGAAATGAAAAGTGATATTGAAAACAAGCTTTTTTTTCTAGACACCGAAATGATGATAATTTGATCTTTCTATGAGAGAAAGAATAGATGAAAAATCCATTGTTTGGAATGGCAAAAATCTGGATTCAACAATCCATGAACTATTTAGATTTAGAACTGCTTTTAATTGTACAGGGACAAAATAATTTTCACATATGGATGTTATCGATTATTACAACAAGAAAAAAAATATCCAAAATATCTAAGGACGATTGACGATTCATATTTTTTTTTCTAATGAAAAATAATTTTTCAGTTTCAAACAAACAAACAAAAAACTTTTGATTACCGCTTGTGTTGAAAAAAAATGGATATGAGTGGGTAAAAAATAACTTTGCCGGGTACGAAAAAAAATGTCATATTTTAATACGTGTTGTTTATGGCCATAGAAAAAAAAAAAAAAAAAAAAATTTCCCATTACGTCAGCAAAATTGAAAAGAAATTTGTTTTTTGTTGCCCAATAAGATTGACTTCAATTGCTTTTTCGGTGTTGGGGTTTGTTTTGATTCTTCATTGTTTTTTTTTCTGCCATCATAAGCAATAAAAAACCAACTGAATTCATTCAGTGAATATGACAATTTTGAGTTTTTTTTTGTTTTGTTTTCTTTTTCGATGGTGGATACTTCAAATTGATTGTGTGCGTGTTTGTGTGAATGATGAAGTGACATTGGAATAGACAACAATAGTGATTGAAAACAAAACAAAACAAAAAAAAAAAATTTTTTTTCCAACTGAAATGTTGACTTCAATGCCCAAATTCGATTTGATTTTTTTTCCCCATTTAATTGGTACACATATATGATCCAAGAAAAAAAAAAATCAAAGTCAAAAATAGAACAAAATCTGATTCTAGAGTGTGTATATAAAATTCTTTTATTTCTCATGGATGAAATAGATATATTGAAATCTATTCATCATCGAATAAAAAAAATGTTTGAGCATCAGATTTACTTTTTCAATTGTCGTATTCTATTTTTTTTTATTTTATTTGATCTAAAACTCTGTTATTATTGCATCATCGATTCGAAATGTTATCATGAAAGAAAATAGTATGTTTGGAATCATGAATTGTGAATATATTTGATCATCAATCATCATCATCATCATCACTTGGCTGTTTTATCATCAGCAATATAAAAGTCAGTATAAGAAGAAGAATAAACACGCATATATACATATGGCATTCGATTGATGCACTCAAACTTGAAGAAATAAAAAAAAAAAAAAGAAAAATAAGATTCTCAGTCACCATGTTTATCGTTTTCATCATCATCATATATATAATAATCCAATATTACTTTTGCGACATACGAATATACATACACACATACAAAAAAAGTATTTGAAACAAACAAACAAAGAATAAATTCTTCACTTGAGTTACTCATGATGATGTTTGCTTACTTGGAATAAAATAAAAGTGAATAGAAAAAAAAATAGAATTGATTTTTCTCGTTGTTATCGGTCTGTGTTGTTTGGAGATTCTTTTTTTTCTCAATTCTTGTCTATCATCAGTTAAGAAAATGAAAATCTTTTACTTGAACATAGGATCATCATTGAGAAAAAAAATATGGCAAAAAAAACTGAAAAATCTTATCTTATCGTTTAAAGCTAAAGCGACCAAAAAAAAATGTGTAAGTGATGATGATAGAATAAAATAAAAATAAAATATATAAAAAAAATGAAATAAAAATCCAGATTGATTGAATAAAATGAAAATCTTTAAAGCTCAAAAATTGTATTGCCAATGTTAAAATGGTGGGATTAACTGATGCAACAAACTTGAATCAGCCATGAAACAAATAAATATATACGACATCAATGGCCATTTTAACTTAAAATAATTTGAATCTTATCTTAAAGTGAAACAAAGTTTCAATGTCCAAAGTTTTTGTGTGGAAAAAACTCTTTTTCTTCACTTTCCATTTTCAAAATTTATTATCAAGATAAAGACGGAAAGTTTATGATGATGATCGAATGAAAGATGATACAAAAACATTTTGTAATTGTAAATGAGACAATCGTAAGGATTTGTGCTCGGGAAAAAAAACAACAACTCTGGCTATAAAATGGTGGAAAGAATTCGATTCAAAGCTTTTGATGTTGGTCACTGCAGTGGTATGTAATTTTCATTTTAAATGTTTTGATTTATTCTTAGTAAAATGGTAATATTTCATTTCAAGATATAGAACTTTTTTTCAAATTTTAGATATCATTGATAAAAAAAATGTTTGACACAAACCTGATAGTGTGAGATATATATTAATCAAGATTAACAATTTTTTTTTGTTGAAATAGTGATGATTCAATAGATTCATCGAATCGTGAATACAATTTCTATTCACATCATTGAAGCAATCAATTTTATTCACGTTAATCATTGGTGATACTAATCCTACTAATTTTTTTTTTTTGAAATCATATAATAAACAAACGAACAAGTCAAAAAAAAAAAGGAAATATTGATAAATACTATATTGAACACCTTGACGACCATATGGATATGAACAATTGAATCATCACTGATCGGAAATCTGTCAAAATAAATAGCTGACCAAACAGATTTTTGGATTTTTGTTTTGCATATGCAACAAAAAAAAACAGAAGCTAATTTGAATTTTTTTTTCTGTTTTGTTTTGCTCTCCATCCTAATCGATCGTACAATAATCTGATTGATTGATTTGATTCTGAAGCACAATATTTTGGAGACTAACGAAAAAAAAAGTTTAACCAGAAAAAAAGGAAAATATCAACGATATAAGATGGATGAGTGAATGAATGTATAGAAAGAATAACAAAACAACATTCATATTTTAATGTCAATAATATATGTTTTTGATGAACTAAATCCTTACATTTTTGTTTCGATAGAAATGGAGATGTCATTTTTTGTTTATGGACAAAATATGGATCGACATTGTGGCAGCATACACGACCAAATTGGTGTATATGCAAATATATAATCGAATGCAATTTTTGTTTCATATGTATTTCATATTTGTGATGTAAGATTTAAATATTTGAATAAATTAGAAATACAAGAGTGAAAAGCCAAATTCTTGGATTATAACCATTCTTTGGATCACAATACTAGGCAATTTTATCGTAATTTTTTCATCATTAATAATTGATCACAACTGATTGAACTGGAGTGTTTATCTATGAAAATAATCTTATAAAAATCAAGTTATTTAATGAATTGTACTATAGTACTATGGTAGTGAAGTAAATTAAATCCTTAAATGAAGCTTAAATGATTTCTTCTACTTCCACGTTTTCATACCGGGATTAAGAAAATTTTATTCGTTTAGTTTTTAAACACCGATAAGGCCATGAAAAAAGCGGAACAAAAATTCTAATTCATATTAACACTGTCACTATTATATTCAAGATGAGTGGATGAACTCTTGTAACAAAATTAATGATTTCTAATTGAATTTGACATTTTAATGAATGAGTTGACTATAGAACTTTGGAGAAAAAATTAAAACAGAATAGAAATTTTATCGATCGACAATATCAACAAGGCTTACAAATAAGATGGAGAAGATTCTTCATCCAAAATAGAATTAGATGAGATGCTTCTTATGTCTTATATTAATCATAAGGGAAAAGATATTGTTGTTGATAGTGA